TGAAGACGTTTCGCCACCTCTCCAGGAAGCTTTCTCAATTCAAATGTCTGGATCCGCAGTGAGTTTGAGTCTTATATAGACAACGCCTTGTATCGCTTGGAAACATGCAATGGTAACCGATGAATGGGTCGTTAGTTCCATCGTTAGCCTGTAATATCTGAACCTGTCTATGATTCACCTAAAAAAAACTCCATCTATCCTTGTCTACCATGTTGGTTTGTTCCTCTGTTACAGAAGGTGCACTGTAGGTGGATTATATTTTAAAATGTTGTGCGTACTATATAGTTATGCTGTGGCCACATATAATTACATAATAAAAAGAGATTTTTTCGAGAGAACGAATTAGTATTTTTTTTTTATAAGCCTTAGCAATGTTTCCAGCAGACACACTCAAAGTGAAGTCCCACTATGCCTGCTTTAGTACAGTTTAGACAGTATGTTTTTCAACTCTACTGGCATGTAAATGTGCAATTATTCAGCTATTGTGTAACATAAAGTGTGTTAAATAATTTTCATTCAATATTGTTGAATATTGAAATAAATCCAATGTCCTGAACAAGTACAGTTATCTTATTTCACCTGTCTAAAAAAGTATATTTATCTTTCTTGGTGTATCTGTGTAGAAAGTTATGATTGTGTTTTCCCACAGACCAAAGCTTCTTTTTTATGAAGTAAATTCAATATTTTTCTTGTCATTTAATGTAAACATGTAAACACCTTATCCTTACTGTTTCTGTATATTTGTGCACCCAGTGATGGAGCCTGAAATGCAGCGTGATAAGCAGGAGGCTGTTGATGTCATCTCTTGGGTGTCGGTGTGTCCTGGCGGCCTCTGGAGGGTTCAGCAAAAACTGACGCATGAGTCGAAGCAACAGAGCTCACCTAGCACGGAAGATGATACATGTACGACATTTTGTTTAAGCTCAAACTTTTTGTCTGATTTCTAATCTCCAGATTTCAGATTTGACTCGTTTATTCAAATTAGAGGATGGAAGAGCAGTATTAGAGGTGTTTATTTTTTTGTATCCTTCATACCATAAGTGGTCACAAACTACTTATGCGTATGAGGAGCAGAGGCAACATAATTTGCATTTGTGAGAGAAATTATAATACAAGAAAAAGCCCAAATTAACATGATAAACATTGCTAATATTCCTAAAACAGGTGTAAATATTGCTCTATTGTAAAAAAAAAAAAAAAACAAAAAAAACAGAAGTCTGAGATTTTAAAAAAAGCTGCCAACATTTCCTGGGAAGGATAAAACAGAGTACCTTTACTGTTACAGTATCTACCTGCAGTAATTCTGGTTCTCTCTCTTGCAGCCGGAATGAGTTATGTTGTTAAAGCTTTTTTTAAGTGATAACTTCACCTTTTGTGCTTTCTCTGAAGTAAAACCTCAGTGTTTGCAGCACACTTAAGAGAAAAATACTAGATTAAAAAAAAAAAAAACACCATTCAGGGTCAATAAAGCTGAAAACTTTCTTGCCACACGTCTATGTCCTAAATTCACCTTTTTTTAAATTTTATAACTAACAAGCGCTGCATTGCTTGTTTTATTTTTATTTGGTGCCTTTTGTTGTTTGTTTTTTCTTTTCCTAAAATGCATTTATTTTTTCTGTTTGTTTTTTTCTCTCAGCTTGTTTACCTAATAACTGCCCAAAGCTGGGCTCACTGTGTCGAGTCAGAGTGCAACTCAAAGCCTTGACCAATGATGCAGACGGGTCAACAAAAGGAAACGAAAAGTTAGACGTCACTGTTACAGAATTAGTGCCAACACCGATTGTCCGTCGTCAGGATGCTCCGCTGCAGGTCCTGCTCGGTGACTGGATAGTTTTGAGGTTGGGTGAGGGGCAGTGCGACATCACAGAGGCCTGTTTGGAGGGCATGAGAGCAGGAGAGAAATGTGAGGTAAGGTTTTACTGATGGCTTTTCAGAAGTAAAGTCTGGTATTGTTTTTTATGTTTTTTAAAAAGCTATGCATAAAACCTGCATGTAATACTTCAGGGATGCTGAGAAGAAAATAAAATGAACAAATGCTGTTGTGGGTTGTAAAATGAGTTTAATCAGTGTGTGTTGTTGTTCAGATACAACTTACTCCTGTTGGAAATGGACAAGATTCCTCTGTTCACCAGCCTTCAAATGAAGACCTTCCTCTTGTTGCCACTGTTGAGCTTCAAGCTTTCACTCCAGGAAAGGAATCCTGGGAGATGTCCCCCGCGGAGAGATGGGAGTGGATAAAATCGCACAAGGAGAGGGGTGGAGGTAGATTTAGGAGCGGAGACGTGTGGGGAGCAGCAGACAGCTACGGCCGGGCCCTCAAACTCCTTATACCCCTTTGTGGCCTTGCTGGTGAGCTGGAAGACGGCAGTCTTTTGGAGGAAACACAGCAGCTTCCCTCGTTTGATCAGCTCAAAATGAAGAAAGCTGAGCTACACTCCAATTTGTCTCTGTGCCAGCTGAAACTGAACCAGCCACAGCGAGCCAGAGACAGTGCAGCCCAAGCCACTCAGCTCGAACCTTGCGCCTTCAAAGCCTGGTATCGACTGGGCCAGGCATGCCAGAAGTTGAATGAGCTGGATGAGGCTAAAGAAGCGTTTAAGAAACTTCTGGAGCTACAACCGGACCTGCCTTCTGCTGTGAAAGCGCTGAAAGAAATAACAAGTAGAGAAAAAGAGAGAAATGTGGAGCTAGGATTGAGACTCAGCAAAATGTTTAGCTGAATATGGAGTATTACGCTAAATTAGGTTGCCTCATTTGCTTTAAGTGCAATTATAATACTGCTATTGTCTCAAAGTAGAGTACAAATTTGTGAGTTTCCTTAATAGAGTTTTGAATAATAAACGATATCAAAGAAAATAAATAACATTGGTGTTGATGACTGGTTGCTTTCAAATAAAGACTAGATTTCACATTCCGCTGTAGACGGTGTTGCGACAGACCAAAAATGAAGAGCTAACAAAATGCCGAAACCCGGGATCGAACCAGGGACCTTTAGATCTTCAGTCTAACGCTCTCCCAACTGAGCTATTTCGGCGTGGACATCGACTGAGACCTGTGTACAAAACAAACACGTTCAATGATATTATTTGATTATATTATTTTCATATACGGTATAAATATATATAGAGGAAGTTTTACCCTGCGACATTTATACAATAACAAGTCATGTCCTTGAAATTTGTAGGTGTGACGTTTGATAAGAATGCGGCGCAGGAGTGTTGGTGGTGTCGAAGGACAGATAAATAGTTTCTGTGAATCTTTACAGCCTCTTTCAGGCATATTTGAATGTTGAACAAAGCTGGAGACGTTCAGTTTTCTCTCTGAGCGCCATCTCCTTCAAAAACCTCTGTATAAGTGTAGGCCATTTGCCATCTCCGGGGACACGTACGACGTGACGTAATTACGCAGCGTCTACGCAAACCAGAGCCGTGGAGATCAGTGGCTCTGATGCAAAAACGTGCAAAAACAGAACAGCAGGTGGCAGTAGTGGAACACGTTCCTGAGTAAAAGCGTCAGTAACGGCAAATCTTAATACATTTATTTTCAAAATATCTCTTGCTATTAAATCTCATTAAAGTTTTGCGAACAAGAAATTATAACAATAATGATAACAGCAGTCAGTCCTGGCTGAGCAACAGTTGGCATCCAACACTGGATGAAACAGTCTGAACATCTCCATGAAATTAATTTCCTTGAACAACTAACTCAGTGAACATTAGGCTACTATAAATGATCATAGTTATTTTCAACCAGTATGTAAATATTAAACCTATGATATATAATCTTATACATTTTCTTTTCACAGAGTTCCATTTAAAAGGTGGTTTCCCATGACACTATGCACAGGTCCTACCTGTTGAATGTTTTTATACTCCATTTTCACCTCTTCTTGTGAGATTGAACTGAAATATCATACATTGATTTGCTACCTTTCAACCAGTAAACTAGGTTTCCCCTGTGATGTTATCATGATTACAACAGGCTGTAGCCATCCATAGATATTTAATAGTGTGTCTGATTATTTATTTTTGATAACTTAAATACATTTTTCCTGGTGACATTCTTCACATCTACAATAAACATTCTGGATGTCTAGAAATAAATTTCCAATCTCCATTACCCTTAGTATAAAACTGATAAATGTCAAAACATTCACTTAAAATGTGTAAATATTTCTTGGTATATAAAACTTCATTCTTACTAGTACAATTTTGTTTTTATACTTTCTAAAATTCAGTTTTTTGCTGGCAAAAATATAACTATAATTCCAACTAGGAATGTGATTTTGACTAGGAAGAGTTCTAGTTCAGTGATCTACAATGTAACAACAGAGATGAGCGTGCTTTTAAATGTTAAAAGGCATACCATAACAGAATATATAAATAAAGTCGAGCAGCAATCTTCTCGAACTCCATCTCCCTCTCTTTTGCAGCTGTAGCTCTGCATTTTATGAACCCATTCTCCATTTTTTCCCCCTTTCTGAATTAAAATCTCTAGTTCCAGTGGTGTGAAACAGACACTTGCTGTTGCCTGTTGTCATTGTGACTCATCCGATAGGTGCTCCACTGTTAATTGCTCAGGCCTAATTTTTACTCACATGCGTAACTCTGAGTGGACCTACTCAGAGTGTATGAACAGACACAAGGTTTGAGCAAAATAAATCCTGTTTACTCTTCTTTGCCATTTTCTTTATAATTTTAATTTGTGTCCAGTCAACAAAAAACACCAGTGTCATTCTGACAATATTTCAGATTAAAATATTAACATGCAGATTCCAAGAGACAGGCAAGAATGGGTTGGTTATTAGTCAGGATTTTGCCCTGTTTTACAGAATATCAAGAATATAAACTTCCAACACAGAAGACCCAATTCTCCATATAACAAGTTTCTAAAAAGCCACCACTGCATCTGTTTGTTATCCCACCGATGCTTTCATGTACTTATCACAAGATTTAATGTTAATCACCTATGCGCTTAACTGTGTAGATATTAAGATAGTATTCAGGCTAATCACAAACTAAAGTTTATTAACAAACAACAGTATAAAGGAAATTTTTTTATTTAATCATTTTATTTAATCTGTAATAAAAACAAACTTGCAAACGGCAACAAAACCAAAACTCTGAGCTTGCTGGCATTCATTGGACAATCACCTTGATAATACAACAGAAGCAAAGGACTACAGTTCATTTGCATTTGTTTTGAAGACACTTTGATTTAATTCCCCCAATGTCCCACATTGTTGTGATTAATATCGATTACTTTCTTTTAGTCTTCTGTGTCCTAGAGGAGTCCACATATGTCTGGGCTGCCGATAACTGTCTCCACGCATCCAAAATGAGTATCAATGGAATAATGATCCAAAGGAAATTCATGAAGACAAAGTAGAACCAAAAGTAGATAGGATGTCCGTACTCGCTGTGGGCATAGCCATCCCTGTGCTCTGTGAAGAAGTACAACACTGCTCCATAAAGCTGACCTAAGGACAGAAAGTAGATATATTTAGAAACAACATATGAACATGTAAAAAAATATATATTTTGTGTTTTAGATGGTTTTATTGACTCTTTACCAAGTGAAATGATGAGCTGCAGAACAAATCTGTAGGACTTTGCAGTTATAAAGGAATAAACAGCCCAAAAACTGAATGGACCCCATAGGACAGCAGTCACGGTCTCCATACAGACAGTAAAGTTATCAGCTCTAGAGAGAGAAAAAAAAACAGTGATAGCCTACCATATCAGATCTCTTATTTTTTTCTTTTTATATGACTGTAACTTACATAACATATCTACTGTCCCCTTTGGAGTACTCTTTCCCTGGGAGAGGGAAGCACAATACATAATATGCACACAATCAGAGCCATGTTATATATGTTTTTCCCTTCTTGTACTTACACAGTTGTGAAAGAAAGCTTTGGTCCCCTGGTATAATGTTGTAATAAAGAGTAAACCAGCCCTCAATAATGCTATGGATAAATCCACAAACTGCAAACCAACAGATGGCCAGGCGCCTCCATGTTCCCAGGGAGTGGTTGATCCCACTGATCAGCCAGGTGACAAGCAGAAACACCCCAGAAACAGAGAAGAGGAACACCAGAATGTCTGTCATGGACCGATCGTTGGCCACATAGTTGGGAATCACAAGGTCCTGGGGCCAGAATGGATGAGGAGGATTTTTTCCTGCAGAAGCATCCATTATCTGTTTGAAGAGAGGATCTTTGTCAGCTTCATTTAAACAGATGTGATATTACTAACTTTAGTAGTGATAGAAACTGAATGTACAAATTACATTTTTAAAAATCAGAGTTCAAGAGAGCAAACCAAAAGAAAAGAACTCACCAGGGAGTATATCTATGTTGGAATCAGGGACTCTGCTTTTGAAATAAATTCTGAAGAATTAACTAATTTAAAATGTATATTCAGCAAAGTTACAGGCAACTGACTTCTTCACATGCAAGTGTGCTCCTCCAACTCAAAAACGGAAGTGTTTTATTGAGGGGGTGGTGACTTAAAATTACATACACCAATGGCCAATGAGAATTATTGCACAAAAACGCTACATTCGATCTGACGGCTCACGTGATTGGCTCCTCGTCTCGGAACATAGACTTCGTTCCAATCAAACAGCCAATGAGCAGAGAGTAATTTTCACCACATACGCTATTGTTTTTGAAGGAGGTAAACGCAGACCCGAGGCGAACTTTTGTAAATCGTAGAATTGTTTAAAAGGTATTTCAGATTCTTATTTCGTAGAGTGCCAGACTAAAATATTGAATTTTGTACATGTAAGTACAAGTAAGTTAAAGTATTTTTACCACTTAATTTAATCAGCTATATGTAAAATATATATATGATTTTTTATTTATGCAGTTGCAGAGATGATTAACATATTTGATATTAAAGAAGTCAGAAAGGGACTAGTGATCATATATGCAGTTTTGAATCTTACAAAAAAGTAAAATAGAATAGACTTCTACTTTATTGTCATACACTGTCACGCAAACAAATGAACGAATATACATTTACGAAAATACTATTGTTACACGATATCTGCCTTTTAATTATTAAACACGAGAAATTCGTTTTAGTTTTTTAAAAAGATATCTCTCAAGCCGTGTCAGGGATTTATCCCTGCCGTGACCCGGATTCGAACCGGGGTTGCTGCGGCCACAACGCAGAGTACTAACCACTATACGATCACGGCACGCTACTGAGAGACCTGCGCCGACAGGGAAAAAATGCGTATCTCACCTATAACGATACAGGGGTCGTGAACGTATGTCTGAGTGTAGTAATTTAGGACAGACTTGTATTGATCTCACAATGGAGAAATTCACTCGGCATTGGCTTTTATAGACAACAGACGGTGCACAAGGGAGGAAAAGGTGCATTACTTAGCTATATACAGTGCATCCAAAAAAAAAGATAAAGGAGAGATTTAAGGTGACTTCTATATACAGTATCTCATGTTCAGTAAAGTGGTGGCAGATAAAGTGCGGTTTCTGGTTTGTTTAATAGATAAATAGTATAAGTTATTGCAGTGTTATTACACCAGGTTACAGTGCAGTCACCAGGGATGACTGACCTGCGGTAGCGCTCCTTTTTACATACGGGATGTATAAATCTGTTACTAAACAGTTCCCAGATATTCTAGCAAGCTCCCCAATAATGTACATGTTTTTATTTAATCATCTGTGATAAATAAAAAGACTTGCAAACGGCAACAAAACCAAAATTCTTAGCTCGGTGGCATTCAATGGCCAATCACATTGATATAACAACATGAGCAGTGAGCAGTTTATTTACATTTGTTTTGAAGACATTGCTAAAACTGTTTATGTATTCCCCAAATGTCCCACATAAAGGCAGAAGAAATCAGATATGACGTCTTGTAGGAATAAAATACATATTCTGCTAATGCTGTTCTATAGTCCCATATGGTCTAGCGGTTAGGATTCCTGGTTTTCACCCAGGCGGCCCGGGTTCGACTCCCGGTATGGGAACACTATTTTTTTTTTTTTTTGGTCATAATAAATTAATACTAAAATTAATAAGGCATAAGAAGTTAAAAAAAGGCGAACAAGAAAAAAAGTTGAATAGAAATAGAAATAAGAAATAAAATTACAATAACAATGTTGATATACATTATTCCACACTAACAGCAATGCACAACATACACGTTTTGCCAATGCCCAAAAAACTAATGAGGAGGAGAAGAACAAGCAATGCTGAGATTTGGACGCATGGAATAAACAGGACACTATTCATAAATAGGAAAAACACAATACGTATAAATATGACTTATATTGAAAATATGAAACTATAGAACATATTTTAATTATCCAAGAAATGCAGTCATGAAATAATTTATTAAGATTTATGCCAAATGTATGTTTGACAAAAGCTAATTCCTCCTATCTGTAAAGTAAAATTTGGCATTGAAGCTTTTTTTTATTCTATTTTTAAGCTTCGACACATTTACTAAAAAGAGATTCGATAGTTTGAGGGACTGAATGTAACTTGATTTTTATTTTAAATAATTTAATTTCTATGTCTTTGTTTTTTACTTCACCGTCGCTCCAGTACGTGTTCCATATCAGTTGGTGGTGCAAATTCTTCAAGTCGGAAAAAGCGGAGGAAAAAAAAACGAAGAAGACAAGAAGAAGAAGATATGCTGGGTCATGTGACCAGCAACGTCATTTGACGCTATACGGAAGCTGTACGCTTCATCTTATATTTTGTGTTGTGTTGATCGTAAATAAAACCCTCTTACGCATTTATTTCTAACCAGACAACATGGGTTTCTCAGAAGGGGAAGAGTCCTGTCTATTACTGGATGAAAAGCTGCTTCGTTTTATGGACCAACTGGAGTTACTGCAGGAGAAACGAAACACCTTGAACTCTCTCATCGAGCAGGTAGAGAAAATACAGAAATATTTTAGCTTGGATAAACAGAAGTGGAGGAAAGCAGTTATTGTAGTTATGTATGTCAAGTAATTAATCTGCGTGAAAAAATACAACTCAAACCCTTGCTACATATGTACGTTTACGTACACGCACTGTTCCCGAAGGGGCAGAGGCGTAGCCAGAGATTTGTTCAGGCAATAACCAATGTACACTGAGGGGGGGCCGAAAGTAGATAGGTGCAAGAACCTCTGGGTCAATCTACACTATTGGAACAGGAAAAGTAATGAGCAAAATATTCATATTTTCTAAATAAACACAAACTATACTTTCCAACAGCTTTTGCTAACATATAGACACCTATATTTTTAAACATCTGTGCTTCCTAGATAAAAGGTTTATTGGATAAAATTCTTTCAGGTTTGAGTTTTGGGGCAAACATCTCTTCCTTTGTCATTACTTACCTTCTTTTATAAACAATTATTCTGCATAAATTTATATTTACAAGTGCTAATATATACATAAATTGATTTTTAACTTTTTATTAAAATAGTTATTTATCTATGATTGCACTGAAAAATCCTAGATGACTTTTAGAGACACATAATTTTCTCTTTACCCTTTATAATACAAAATCTAGTTCTGAAAAGAGCATAAATTATCATATTTAATGTTAGTATATAGATGTGCATAAATAACTACATTGTTTTTGTTGTCAAGTAATGGTTAATATATGAAAAATTTTAATGTTTTGAATATTCCACTTGAGAGGATTACTATTCCACCATCTGTATTAGAAAGGGAAAAAATGGTAGGGTGTTACTTGGTATTTTTCAAAATACAACATAATAGAATTAAAAATATATATGTTGAAACTCTGCCATTTTGATGGGATTTGAACGCAAAGGGGATGCCAAAAGCCATTCATGTTAGCTGACGTCTGTGGATTGGAGCAGAGACAGTAGTCATAAACCTTCTGATAGCAACGTGTTTTATTACACAATTGTTAGAGCAGTAGATGATCTTAAGCTTAGAACTGGGGGATGTGTTCTTATATGCACATTTGTTTCTGTTACATCCAGCCAGTTAGGTATATTTCTAACGGCTGTAACGTTTGGTTTGGATCTATATAGAAAATGTTATGAATCTGAAAGAGACATCAGATACCTTTTTCAAATACAAATATTTTCTGACCATCTGCTGATCACTTTTCTGCTTTAGTCTGTTTTATAGTTTTTCTTCTTCTTTTTAGGGCTGGTTTTCCATAAGCAAGGCACGATATTCCATGGGAAACAAACAGGTTTCTGCTCTTCAATTTGCAAACACGATGGAGCCACTGGTTTCTGTACATGTTAGGTGTGGAAAGATAAGAATATATCCTTTCAAGACCAGTTTTATCCATTTTAGCTTCTGCTAACATTCTATGTGTATTTCTGTGTTATAGAACCTTGGACAACGATGATGTGGAATTTAGCACTGAGAAGTCTCCACCAGAATTCAGTAATGGATCTGTTAAAGAACCAACATTAATAGAGGATGTTGGACCTCAAGAAGAAGGTGATGCTTCAATAAAAAATGTCTTCTGGAAACATCAGCTGTAAACTGTCTTTTTAAATCCTCTCTGTTTTATTTACTTGCATAGGTATCAGGCGACGAAAAAAGACCAAAAGCGACGGCACAGAAAAAAGAGAAAGTAGGGGTACCGGCAGTGAGATGGATCCTGAGGTAAACCCAGTTAGAAAAGGAGGCCATAATCCTCACCAGGATCCACTGAAGTGGTTTGGGATTTTAGTGCCACAGTCTCTGAAACAAGCACAGTCATCATTCAAACAAGGTATGTCTGAAAATCCACAAAAAATATTTAGCAGTAGATAGTTCTGCATGCTATATAGCTAAAGAAAGTCTTAATAAAATGTGAGAACAAATGGCTGGTCCAACAACTTATTTATGAAAATGTTATATATCAGTAAAGTTTGTAAACATCATTTAGAAACAACTAAATTAATGTACTGATTATGGATCACAGATGCAAATAAGAGCATCTGAAAATACCAGTTTGTATGTATAATATAAACGTAAGATGAAATGTATAATGCATTGCTGCACCTAATTGTGGATCTCCTCTCTTTTCCTCTGCAGTCATAGAGCTTTCAGCTGAGATCGCAGCACTGCAGATCGCAGTTCTAAACACCAGACAGGAGCTGAAGCATGACTTGAGAAACCAGGAGAGCTCTGATGGTGCTGAACTTAACGTCTCCACTGGATCAAAGAAAGAAGCTGAAGTTCCCTTAACAAATAAGAGCTAGATAATCCAGAATCAGATTAACAGAGTGATGCTTGCTGCGGTTAATGGTGTAAATCACAGATCGAACAGTTACTGCAACATCCCATATTGTTAACCAGTTTTCTTTAACGTTTTCATGTTTTTAGATTTAAGTTTGTAAATAAAAAAAGGATATTTGAACATTCCAACAGTTTTCCACCAGAACTTTAATACAAGTAAAATCAATTACACCAATGTTTATGTTATTCTTACCTTCAAGAGCCCGGAGGATGATGCTTAAGGTTCTAATGCTGGTGTAACGTTCTGTACAGTTTCCGTACTGTTAAAATACTTTTATTTGTATTATGAGTGTTACCTCCTGATTTGCACAACCTAAACATTGCAATAAAATCTGGAAGACAGGCTGAGCTAATTTTAAATAATGTAAAAAAACAAAAAAAAGATTTTTTTTTTATCTTTCAATATTGCTAAAAAGGTCTCATACACTTATGGGAAGGTTTTCCAGACCTGTAGATGTATGTCACCAAAAGTAAACAGAAAAAAACTTTTTGGCATTTGCAAAGTGGGGGGAACTGACATGTTTATCCTATTTAATTTAATTAGATAATAATAATAATTATTAATTTAATTATCAGGCTTTTTTATGAGAACGAACTTTGGAGAAGTTTTACCAGTCATATGCAGGACTATTTAAAAACAATAAAAAAATCGGTTTAGAGGAGTTCATTTTGGACAATATGCGGTAATGCTGTTAGTTCATGCATTAGTATCGACTGCCTGTGTTATGTCTTTCCATGCATTATAGGCCATAGGCTGAAGCCTGTATCGTTCAGGTTCGCTCCACCTATTTAGGGACTACTAAATGACAACTACAATAAAATCCTAAGTGCATTTTGAGCCCATAACCAAGAGTTCTCCAATCGCTTTGCGCCAGTATTTTTACAGTAATTACTTAAAAGTGTAACTATATCGGTAGCCTGATCACACCGTTAATCTATGCTCGAATCAATCCGCCTAGCCGTTAGCCAATCAGGGCGCGTCCATCAGGTACGCTCTCCCACTTCAGAAGCGGAAAGAGAAGAACAAAAACAAACATGGCGGCCCCCATGAAGCAGAGTGTTCCCGTTGGATCAGACAGAAAACGCAAGAAAAATGTGGATTATATATGCATCACACACATATCATCGATGGACAAAGAACGGACACAGCCACTGACAGTTGTTTGTTGGAAGAAGCTGGTTGTATGTGCCCGTAAGTGGCTAGAAATTGACGGAATCGACCGCACCTTGGCGGAGGCTGTATGTGTACACGATGAGTCCGCCAAAAATAACAATGACGATTCCACGTCAACCCTGGCTTGTTCAGAAGACTCTTTCTGGCTTCTTGGGGGGGGGGGGGGACGTTTCATCGATAAGAAACGAATTGCCAGTGCTGAAAAACTAGCAGAAAAACGGGGAGCATATGGTCGTGACAACAATGGTTCTGATTCTGATCACGAGTCTTCCACAACCACGTCCACGACAAGCCGGCCACCATGTCCAAAACAGTTGAGATCCACGACTAAATCATTGAGGTCTGGCAATGTACTTCCTGCTGTCTGTATAATTTGCAAGAGGGTTGACCGCTTTGTGAAAGAAGGACACAAGACAAAGAAAGAAAAATTCGTCCAAGCAGAAACTATAAATGCTGGTGAGTAGAAAATTTGCAGACTGCATCTTTGTTTGTGGCTTATAACCAAAAGCAAAAGTAATACATTTGTTGATTTAAAAAAAATGCATGTGTAATTGGTGCCAGCCCAAGCCTGCTCTTTTCATTGTGAAGTAAGCGTATGAAGGCTATGTGTAGGGCCTCAAAAATAATAAAAGGCATTATTATGAACTTGAAGTGATGATAGGCAATTAATTCATTTGTCAAATAATGGTTAGATTTTAAATTTGTCACCCAACTACCAGTTCAGTCTCGTAAAACAGAGAAAAAGTATTTGATATTATTTGTTGGCAGCTGGTTTATGATTGAACTTTTTTAACTCTCTCTTTGCTAGGGAGTTTGGTTAAAGCAGCTGAACTGCAAATGGACGAATCCATCCTCAAGGATGTAAGTGGAAAAGATTGTCGCAATTGAAGTGTGGTACCACAAATGGTGCTACAAAGAATATACAAGATTTCTGGGATCTACAACAAGTGATGAAAGGTAAATTTCAGATAATTCAAGTAGAATATTTGTGAAATACAAATACTTGAGAGTGAACCATATATTGATGGTAGGGTTACATTCTGGGGTTAAACATTTTTGAAAGTTGATTATTCTTACAAATGAAGCCCAGTTTATAGAGAAATTACATTGTAGTAAAAAATGTAGAATAAACATTTGGATGCAGTTTTAAATAAAACATTTTAACCATAAATTTGTATGAAATGAGATATTCTATCATTGTTAATTTTAAGATTGAGTAAGCATTTTAACTCATCTGTATTTTGCATTGTTTCACACAGGATGCCATAAGCCTGGGAGTATGCCACTGTGTACACAGAATGAATTTTGTGACAAAATAATTTGGGCACAGTTGATTAACAACAAGAAATCTTCAGGATGAAAAAGCTCTCTTCCCTGTTCCAGAAAATGATACGAGAACACCATGGTCAAGGAAGTGACAGGTAATTATGATTCATTAATAGATTTTGATATTATTCACATCAGGGCTGCACAATGGTGCAGTGGGTAGCCCTGTTGCCTTGCAGCAAGAAGGTCCTGTGTTCAAATCCAACATTGGGTCTTTCTGCATGGAGTTTGTTCTCCCTGAGCATGTGTGGGTTCTCTCCGGGTACTCCAGTTTCCTCCCACAGTCCAAAAACATGACTGTTAGGCTAATTGGCTTCTCTAAATTGTCCTTAGGTGTGAATGGTTGTTTGTCCTGTATGCCTCTGTGTTGCACTGCGACAGACTGGCGACCTGTCAGGGTGTACCCCGCCTCTCACCCAGTGAACGCTGGAGATAGGCACCTGAAACCCCCGCGACCCCATGAAGGATAAAGTGGGTTGGATAATGGATGAATTATTCACATCAGCATATATTTATTATTCCTTGTCAATTTTTCACAGATCAGATCTTCTGAAGAAAAGACTGAGGCAAGACTTTTCCCAACTAAATTTCTACAAGCCTCCGAGGAAAAACCTGAGTGAAATGGTATTTACACAAGCTACAGGACTTCTCGACAAGGGTTCATCAACTGAACCTGAGTCATCAGGATCGCAAGAGACTTTGTCGAGTGGTGGAGAGACAGTTCAGGAAAGTGGTACATATGCAGCACAATGAGACTGTACCAGAACCATTTATAGTGCAGGTATAATTCTTAAACAAGCAGTTAAGAGTGCCCCTAACATGAGTGCCGATTGGCCTCCTACATCTGAGGATCTAAATATTTCCTCAGCTAGAAAGATTGTGCCAATTGAACTGTATAATTCACTTGCTTGGTGCATAGGTGTAAGTGATGAGTTGACATTATCTAACATGGTTAATGTTAATTTTAATAAAAGTCATTGTTTAAAAACAGAAATGTCTTTGTGCCTAGTTTTCATTGTTGAAATTTTAGCTGTGTTTCAGTAATTTCCTAAAATTTTGCGTCCAATATTGTAACTGGTCTGCTAGGTGATAAAATTCACACCACTTTTCATAGTAATTAGTTAACCAGACACAAAAGGATATCTTGCTATTAGAGTTTTTCAATTGAAAATTCAAAGAATTGCAGTTTTCATGTGCAATAAAGATATATTTTGGGAGATTGTGAAATTGTTAAAGTGTATTTTTTCATTTAGAATAACTCCTCACTTAAAGCATGCAGAACATTGCCGCTATATAAGCTCTGAGTAAGTATGAATGTCTGAGGGAATCTAAATTCTGAGTCCGATAGCCTTAATAATAAAAAAGTTACAAGGGTTTGAAAATGGTAGAAGACCCAAATTTGTCACTTTTTTGGGTAAACTGCCACCTTTGGCACCCATTTTCTCAAATACTGGCAGGAATCCCGTGGAGAACTTTTTTTCCCAGCTCGTGTACATATTTAAGATTGGAAAACTGCTATCGAAAAGTAGTCCCCAGGTTAGTGGAGCGAAATCCTATTTCTAGCCTCATTTTGAGCTTCAGCCTATGGCCTATTAGTAACACACGGCCATGACTTGGTTATCCCAAGTCCATGATTGATGCACCGCCACGCAATAATCTTGTGGCTGCGCTTAAGTAACGCATGGCCACCAGTTATTTCTACCCTAAGTGATGTAATCAGATATTATTTTGTGAAAAACTGTAATGTAAATGCAGTTCATGTTCCATTTCCTGTTAGAGCATTGTAATGGCCTTTATATTGAGTATGAAGCTCTGCTGCATGTGGTTACTGCTGAGATGACGTCGCTTATTAAGTCCTTGACACAAATTATATCCGCCTGACCAAACGGTACCACTTGATGAGCTTTTTTTGTCATTAAAGCCAAGGTGTCTTAGGCTACTGGAAAGACCATGAGTATCTCTTACCTCAATGCCATCCTCTAGTGTATTTTGAAGTTTGAGAGTAGGGGTACATTTCTCAATTTCTCACCACTTAGGACTAAAATGCCACTCCAAGGTTCTTGATAAATAGATCTAAGGGAGTTTAGGATGGTTTTCAGGAGTGCTCTGGCTGGATGATAAATGCTAAGTAAGGGGGTCATATGCAACATAGTGATGCATGACTGTGAAGAACTCTAGAGGTCAAGGTTATAATCTATAAAACCATAGCAGACTGAGCACCAATGAAGTGGAGCTTCTTTACAGAAGGCAGGCTGACATTTTGAGTTGAGAAAGCTTTCTAAGTGGGAAAAATAAAGTCTTCAAACTTAGAAAACAAAGTCCAGTATGCTTTTTTTTTTTACTTTTACGGAAAGTCCAGTAGTTTGTTTTTAAACTGTTGTTTGAAGGCAGGCTGCTGCATTCTGAAGAATCTGGAAGAAGTAGGCCTATAAAAGCAGGCAAAGCAGACTATCCACTTGAAATGTTTGATTAAAAGCAAGTCAAAAAAAAAAATGTAATGACCACTATCAATTCTGCCAAAGAGAGCATTCCAAGATTTGGTTAAAATTAGGAGAAATGAACCTGAAATTATCTAAGGTTTTGTACCTTTAGGATCACAATCTTATCTGCCATATAATGGTATCAAGTTGGTGTTGTCCTAATATTCAAACGGATTAACTATTGGTGTAGCCGGGGTTAAACAAGCAACCCATGTTCAAAAGCCTTGGTGGTCGATGTCGTCGTCGCATGTTCGAAACCCAGCCTCTCGACCTTTGCTGAATGTCTTCTCCCTCTGTAATTTCATTTCTTGTATTCATACTTTAAAATAAAAACAAATGCCACTAGAGCCTAAAATATCTAAAAGCATGAACTATTGCTCTGATTTATTTATTTTTTTCTTCTTTTGTGCTGTGCCCTAATGAATAAAAACACTGGCCCCACCCTGTCCCCCCATAAAATTAGCCTAGAATCTCCATTGCTAACCATAGCCTACGGAAGAGGATTAGAAAAAAAAAACAGATTTTCAAATATTATTTCTGTTCAATATGGGGGAAAAAGTCAGAATTTTGCCTTTTTTCTCTGAATTCTGCCTTTTTTCTCAGAATTCTGACTTTAATCTCAGAATTGTGCCTTTTTTTCAGACTTCTGCCTTTTCTTCTAAGAATTCTGACTTTAATCTCAGAAATCTGGCTTTAATCTCAGAATTCTGCCTTTTTTGTCAGAATTCTGACTTTAATCTCAGAATTTTGGACCTTAATGTAGATGGGCACCATGAAGGAAGAGATGTGGGAGCACTCAGCTCCACTGACAAAGATGTGAGTTGTTTGAGAAGACCAATGACACATTGGTGGAAAATGATGGAATTAGGCAACTTTTTACATGCGTGAGGAGTCCCCGGTGTTGCTATTTCATTAATGGAAGAGCAGAAGGTGATTAAAAGAAGAGAGCTAGTTTAGTCTCTAAAACAGACATGGCTACCGCTACATGGCTACAGCTTGTTTCTAACATATTTGTTAGCTCTGAATGTATATATATATATATATATATATATATATATATATATATATATATATATATATATATATATATATATATATATATATATATATATATATATATATATATATTTTTTTTTTTTTTTTATGAAAATAATTGCATAAATGACAGGAAACTTGTGACCTAGACATCACATCCTGATCTAGATAGACAGTCTCTGTGTTTTCCTCCTCTATGAAGGTCTTCGCCATGCCTCTGCTTCACTTGCGTCCGAGCGGCGGATGGGAGCGCAGGAAGCACGGAGCCTCACGGTTTTATTATTGATGTTTCCAAGCATCCGCTGCTGCTGCTTGTGTTCCCGGACCGCGGCCCATTCTGGATGCGCAACCGACGGCAGCCGTTCAAGTTCAATAAGGTTTTTGTCTGTGCAGCGATCATTTTTGGATGCGCGCACCGGGGGACTGGGATGTAAACACGCCGGCCTGTCTGCGCTCATGATCGGAGGCGAGGTGAGGCTCTCTGCTCGGGCTCAGATCGCCAGCTGATTTTATTCTGGAGCAGAGCAGCTGTTCGCTCCAATGGCGTCTGTTTCGAAAGTGTCTATTCTGGATTACTTCAATATTGTGTTTGAGGGAGAAAATGGTAAAATCGAGTCCAATTGCAAGTCTTGTGGCACCCGAATCCAAGCGAAACGGAGTGTTACCTCCAACTTCGTTACACATCTAAAGGTAATGTTTGTTTTTTCATACAAAAAATGTTAAATCCCTATATCAATGAAATAGTCCTATAGTGATCAGGTGGCCCTACAGCACCTCTGCACATTTTATAGTTGCTGGATCAGCAAATACAGGCTGTTGCTTCTCTGATATTTAGTGTATTCCTTAATAAATACACATCCATCATGTTTTCTGTCACATATAACACATTAAACATGTTATCTAAAGCTTTTCTGTCTCTCTCCAATTCAGCGGAAACATCCGGCTATGTACGATGACTTTGTCAAAAGGAAGGATATGAAGAGAGAGGGTTATTCCTCTGCTTGCCTGCACACTTTCGCCACCAATGGAGGAAACCCCCGCTTTACACTCCCTGTAACAACTGGAGCAGCAGGAGGAGGGGCCCTAGGAGGTGTTGGAGGAGTGGGCTCCCTTGAGGAAGGAGGAGGCCACAGAACAGGGGTGACTAAGTTTGACAGACATGACCCCCGTCAGGTATGTGTTACTGTCTATCACCCTTGAAATAGTGCTCTCTGTGAAACCCCTTAAATGTTATGCAGCACATTAGAGCGAGGTAATGAAATCCTTAGTGTAATCTTAACCTATGCTATATTTAACCTTTTTGGGGCTATGATAGGTTCTGATCTCTGAGGCGATAACTAAGATGATCGTGCACGATCTACAGCCGGTGTCCATAGTGGAAAATCAAGGCTTCAGAGAGTTACTGCAGCTTCTGGAGCCCCGTTATACCCCTGAGCCCCAGCATTACATCCAGGGACAGCTTCTTCCTGCTTATGCCTATCAGGCTCAGCTGGCTACGCGTCAGGCCATAGCATCGGCACACGCCCTCAGTCTCAGTTTGGATCTCTGGAGGAGCCAAACTCAAACTGCATCAGGGTGAGTTGGTGAAACAAGCTGTAAACATACAAGACAGCAACATGGTTAGATTCCCCAACTGAGTGGTATTTGATTTCTCTCTCGTTCTTTTTAGTTACCTCGGTGTCACCTGCCATTATCTTGCATCTGACTGGCAGATCCGTTCAGCTCTCCTGGCCTGCCTCCCACTGACTTGCAGCAGCTCTGTGAGACGTGTCCTTGCAGATTTTGATGAAGTGTGTCACTCTCATAGCGTGTCAGGGAGAGCATTTTGTGTCGTTGCAGACCCTTTTCCAGCAACAACAACAGTGAGACCATGTTGTCTTCCTGGGTTCCTGGTTCCTCCTCTTCTTAGTAATAGACAAGATGACGATCTTACAGATCAAGGGCTGGAAAACGGTAGCAATGCAGAGCAATGGATCAGTAACGGCCATGCATGTAATGGAGAGGATGAAGATTGGGGAGAGTCGTGGGAGCAGGGTTTGGGTGTTTGCCGAGTAGACTGCTTCTCTCGCTCCCTAGAACAATGTGTCAGAGAAGGGCTGTGCTCCTCCCCACAAATCTCCTCCACTCTGAGCAAGGTTGCACGTTTTTATAACTACATTACATCTGCCGTACCTCCTGAGAAGCTCATGCAGGTGTTTGAAGGGTGGATGCCTGGAGGAAGCCAGGACATTCAGGATACTTCTACGGATTGGGCTGCTCAACATAAGGCAAGAAAATATGTTATGTGATTCATATTTTTAAACTTTGTTTATTTTAATGCAGGAAAAAAAAATCATGCACAACAGCAATACACTTCTCAGAGTATTTCAAGGAGGATGCTAACTGGTTTAAATTCAAGTACGATTGTAGACAATCCAATTAAACCACAATCCAATCTTGTCGAGTCCAGTCCAATTCAGTTCCATCCAATCTAATTAAGATCATTCTTTCACTTTAATCCAATTCCATATAATTTAATTTGTACAATGGAAAGTCGTAAACGGTCTAAATAAAGAAAACCAGTGGATTGTATTGAATCTTTAATTCGATTTCATTCCCCATCCTCAGACATCACAGAACAGGCAGTGGCGGAAAGCAAAAACCTGCTTGTGGCAATATGAGACACTAGCAAAAACCAGACTTGGAGACAGTAAAATCTTCAAGCTTGATCTTTAAAGAAAGAAAGATGTTTGGCTATCAGAGTAGCATAACATACCATATTTGTATGTAAAAATGTCATAAGAGTTTTTAAAGTCAATAAATGGTGCACACCTACACTTTTATTTGACATAAGTAGTTGAGTAAAAGAATACAGTAGAATTAAAATATGTATCCTTGTATAATAAAACATTGATTTGTACTCCTATAGCTGTTTAATTTCTGCTCTTTTTTTTAAACTAAAGGTCCTTCGGCGGCTGTTGGACTCAGTAGAGTTCCTGGAGGAGATTAGCGGTCCTGGGGAGATGTCACTGAGTGGTTCTGAAAGAGCCCTGTTGAGGGAGCTTGTTGACATTTTAGAGCCCTTCACTGAGGCCTGGGACATGGTACATGGAGACGCACAGAAGGACACACAGCCAGACAGACATGTGTCCATCAGTTTGGCTCTGCCTTGTGTTCTTGGTCTGCGTAAGCATCTCTCTGAGACATCAACTCCCCATTGCCCTGCCCTGCTGCTCAGCCTGAGCCAGTCACTAGAGCGCATTCTGGCTCCAATCCTGGAAAAACCCCTCTACATTACTGCAACCACTCTGGATCCCCAGTTTAAACTTACATGGAGCAGCAACCCTGAGTGGCACAAGCAAGTTCTTATAGGGGAGTTGTCTAAACATACCAGAGCCTCCCCCCAACCTGATCTCAACACAGACCTTAACTCTCAGTCCCAAACCATTCCTACTCCCGCACAATCTCCAGTCTCCTCGCTTTCTCGGCCCTGCAAACTGTTCTCTTTTATCAAGCAAAGACCTGCAACACAGGCTAAAAGCCTTGAACAGGAGTTATGTGTCTATCTTCGAGAGGAGCCAACAGATGAAGAGGCTCTGCATTACTGGTGCCGTAAAGCCATAGACTTTCCACTGCTAGCTCAAGTAGCCAAAAGAGCATTCACTATACCTGCTCGGGACACTGTGGTGGAAAATATCTTCTCCACGGCCAGGCGTTTCCTGTTGCCAGAAAGAGGCCACATCCTACCAAAGAACTTGGAGACACTCATCTACCTCAAAGCCAACTACAAATTATTGTGGACTTAAAATTATGAGTCAGGCATCTTTTATCTAAACGGCAGTTTCCAGTTTTAGTAAGGTGACCCTGTTGCTGTGAAGAAACCGGAGCTAGCAACAAAACATACAGCCTGTTATTAAGAGACTGAAAGTACAACCATTTTCTCTCTTGAGTTTGGTTTTAGATGTGGGTATGGGTCTTTACTCTGAGCTGCTGGCTGTACTGCCTGGGATCAAATCAAGACTAAGACGTTCACCCTGATTTTATTTTGAAATTTCAGGATCTTGAGACTGCCACAGGGCTACTCTTTGTTTCCAACCTTTTCTTAGTGAAGCATCTGTTTTATTTATGCTTACAGTCATGAGAGAAAAATGAATCACTGTCCATAAAGTCATGGTAATCAATAGGTGCACACTGTGAACCAATGGCATGTAGAACTAACTTTAACAGGTACAGTATAAAAAGTTTTCTATAAAATTTCACTTTATCATCACTTTCACTCATGAAGATTTTAAGATATTTGTTTCATTGGCTCCTTGCATTAGATTTCAACTGGTTTGAACCATTAAAACATTTTTTTAAGTCTTTAGCCCTTTTTTGAAAAGTTGGCTGCTGTGCTTTGAGTCGTTTACCTGCTGCATTATCCAATTCTATGCAGTGGATTTTGTGGTCAGATCAGTAACTGCGAGGTGCTCAGTCTCTGTGTTTGCAAACAACATGCCCAAATCACCATGATGAGTCTGAATTATTGCATTCCAGGTGTGAAAGATCTTTCTTCCTTTTAAAGTAATAGACTTTCATGTATTTATGAACAGTTGGGGAACTATTCTGAGAATGATGGACAGCATTGATTGCTTCTTGAAATTCTTTGCTGGCCATTAAAGCTACTTTGGTGTGGGAAATTAAATTAGCTTAAAATGAAATATATAAATGCTTGTGATTACAAACAAATTGGTGCTTATTTCCCTCTAACTTCCCATAAAAGGAGCAAGGATATGCATCTTTTCCCATGATTATATTGACAGTAATAGAAAGTTTTTGTTTTCCCATGTATGTAGATATTTAGCCTAATACCAGTAATTAACTTATTGTCATCTGAGAAGCATCACGTCTACTCATCGCTTTATTCTTTCCCCCCACTGACTGTACGCCGCCTCACCACCTGGACATAAGAATAAATTGATTTCAGTTTCTAACTCTGAAGTTGTTTCTCTAAACATACCTGGGAATGAAAGGCTTTAAATATCTCCACCTTGATTTAGGTCACAGCAATACTCTAAAACTGCTTCAAAAAACACTAAATGTAGCTTCATGTTTATAAGCACAAATAAAATGGTTCTTAAATTATAACAAGGACTGAAATCAGGCCACATGCAGAAACAGCTTTGTTTCAGGGCCGCTGTATTTGTGAATTTCAGTGAATTCCTTCATAGATATTTCTTATCAGATGTTGCTGTGATCCTAATGATTATGACCATACATTGCCTCTGCAGATTAAGACACAGCCATCAAGATATCTGCATAGACGTGTCATGGCGTTCATCTGGGAAATTTGTTTTATGCTCGCTCTCTGGGCGTGTCGTTGTTGTTTGTGAGCATATCTGGAGCAGCTTGAAGCATCTCTCCCGCTCCCTTGCTCTCTCCCCGCGGCTCTGACAGCTCATCTATTTGAGTTAGACAGCCGGGCCGGGATGCGGTCCTATTGGTAATTGCCTCAGAAATGAATTACTTGGCAAACAGCGAGATAGAAGGGAGGGAAGGAAATTGTAATTGAACTGCCCCCGCCTTACTTTGTCCCCTCCTGCCTCTCCTTCTTGCTTCAGGTTATTACATCTGCAGTGCAGGGAGACATTTTCCATCAGCACAACTATGCACACCCTCACAAAACCCATTTGTCCCCTCCCCCACACACAATGGCCTCAGCAGCATACTGTATTGATGTGGGGTGATTTAAGAGATTGATTGCACAGGCACATACACACAGAGCCACTCTGCATCCATGCAGTCTTATTTATAGCATGGAGGGATTAATACAGTTTTAAACATTTTGCTTGTCCAGATATTCTCCTGTAGTCACTGCTCTTTAGATGGCCTAAATAATGCCTGATACACTGCAGGATTTCAGCGTCTGAAGAGAGAAAAAGGGTACTCAGTATTGAAATAGCCTGGTCACTCCATGTATGCAGCCAAGCAGCGTTATTTATAACGTGCCTGTTGCCTGCCTGTTGACAGATAGAAAGTCTGACGGATTAAAGAAGGAACAGTGTTTACGTGTGTTTATTATTTTGCTTTGGCAACTGGTTGAAAGGTGGCAGAAAAAAACAATTTTTTTTCCTACCATACGAACCTTTACACTCAGTCATGATCTATCCCTTGGCCTTTTCATAGGCAGGTCATGGGAAAGGGGGAGGAGAGGGCTTAGGTAACTGAGCTGCCAGCACCAAGCAAGACATGCACATGTTTGACTCCTAACTCAGCACACAATGGGGTCTATTTCTGTAGTCGCTCAAGGGTTATCACCCCACTTGCTCTGACTCTCTCCCCCCATCTATTTCTGTCGACCCGTCTCGTTTCCCAACTCTCTAACCCACTTCCACAACATCATGGCCGACAGAACCAACCGATTAGGTGTTCGTAGGAAGGAGAAAACGCAGGAAACCAAAGCAAATGAGGAAAAGGACAAGGAGAAGGTCAAAGAGAAGGCTGTAAAAAACACAGACAAAGTTGCTAAAAAGTTAGAGAAGACCCCAGAGCCACACAAGACAGATGAGAAGAAGACTAACGGGGAAAGTGAAGGAGCAGCAGGAGCAGACGCAAATAACAGTGAGGATAATGGAGACTTCCAGCCCATAGAGCTGCCTCCTTTTGAAATTGTCACTGGGTGAGTAAAATTTATAAGGGACGCTAAAAAAAAAAATCCAGCTTGATTTTTTTTGTAGTCTATATTTTGATTGCCAGTTAAGAAACAGGAATTGTAACTCAAGTATAGGAATGGCTTACAAATGCTGTTTCTTAACTTCCAGTAAAAATAGAGATGAGTCACTCAAACACCAGGCTGGACTTCTCACTGTATGTAGCATCAGCTCCCCAAGTCTCTGATGTTTGAGATGTTTTATTATCAAAGCTGTTGGAGATCTGTATGAATCCATCCAGCTCTTTGTGTGCATCACAGTAAAAGATTAATGAAGAAAAAATAATTGCTTGTGGTATTGATAGAGACTTACTACAGTGAGACTATAAAGAGTGATGGATCACTGATTGTGAGAGGAAACCAGCAGGATTGTGGGCAAGTGGTTTGGGAATTTATTCGGTGAGCCGACATTCTTTGTTTGATACAGTGAAAACTCTTTCTGTCTCAATCCATCAGGGAGCGGATGAGCCCGTTCTACTTCAAGTTTCAATTCAGGAATGTGGAATACTCATCGGGCAGGAACAAAACATTCCTGTGTTTTAGAGTGGACACACCAGGAGGCAGTGCAGAGCCTCTGAAAGGCTACTTGGAGGATGAACATGCCACAGCCCACGCCGAGGAGGCCTTCTTTCAACAGGTGACTAAAAATCCCTTTTATTGACCTTTAGCCCTACAGTGGTTTGCAGAATGAAAATGCTGCTTTGAGCGGCTGAATGAGATAAACCATAGGTGAGGAAAATAGTTCAGAATCTAACATGTTAAAGAAAAAATATATTATCTCTTTTTAAATTTCTATTAAATTAAAAATGCACAAGCTTGGTTTCACTGCTTAGCACTAAGTTGACAAGTTTCGGTTCATCTTTTAATTGTTTTTAATGAATTTTTGCTAATTGCAATAGACATGTTTTTAGGTAAGAGTTTTAGGTTGACATGCTCTTTTGTCAGTAATCCAGAGATGGTGAGTCATAATGAGGAACTAATAGGGGGAAGACCTTCATAAAAAAACTCTTATCGGTATTACTAATGTGCCTGACACTTGTTTACCATAGATATGCAATCTTAAAAGGAAATTACGTTTCATTTTAGTCACTCTTGATTATTTATCCAAATAAGAAAAAGAAATGCACCAAATTTTAATATGCCACAAACCTGACATCAATTAAATCCAGTTTTGTTTATTATACATAATTTCACAGGAAACATCAGCTTGGGATTCCTGAAAGTGACCTCAAACTGGAACATACTCTGCAAATATCCAATCTAATCCAGTTCAGTTTAGTTTACTTCAGTCTATTTCAGTATACTCTCATGTTGTATGAACATCTTTTTGAAATTCCACCTTCAGTTATGTTGGAAAAATAAACACACTGAAAGCTATGTAACTCCAATTTAATAAAAACAACATGTGTTTTTTCACACTGAACAAGGAGGAACATTATCTCCTTTTAACAGAATAACACTTCTTACAAAATCAGACTTAAAATGTTTGCTCAACGAACCACTTCCGGTTACAAAACATGATAACAAAACCTGAAAGACCCAATAATATGTTCACTTCTGACCAATGCTTAATACATTAAGTGAATAGTTATGCTCTGATTGGGAAACCTGCTGACAGTTTGGGCCTTGAGCTGCAACACTTAAGGGAGAATCAAAGAGCATCTAAACAAGGCCAAATATCTCATTTTCAGTAGGGATAGTTTTAAGATTAAGTTTAAAAGTGAGAGAATGATAATCTGATAGTTGAATGGTGTTGCCCCCATTTCTAATTTAGGAAACTGTAATGCAAGACCATAAAATGATCCTGCCTAAGCTGCATAGATCATTTAAAGCAGACCTCTTTTTGGGAGATTTAGCATCCTTTTTTCTTGACATCTTTTTATAAACTCCAGGTGTACTGTCCAGTACTGACTGATTTTTTTAATTTCAAAAACTTGCACGTTTGAATACACAAAACAATAGTGGGGCATGCAAAGTCAGATTCAGTATATTCGAATATTATCCATGATTTTCCACTCATGAAAAATGTAATATCCAAATATTTCCTGTTTTTTTTTTTCTTTTTTCCCCACGTACACTTACACAAAACAAAAGGTTTGATCTCTATCAAATCATTTTATTATTTTACATTTTACAAACAAAATCTATCTGTGTCATTTTTTAGGTTCTCCCAAACTCCTCCAAGGAATATGATGTGACATGGTACGTATCATCCAGTCCCTGTGCAGGTTGTGCAGCCAAGCTGGCCAACATCCTCCAGCAACGCAAGAAGCTACGCCTTTCTATATTCTGCTCCCGTCTCTTTGAGTGGGAGGAACCAGAAATAGTGGAAGGCCTAAAAGCCCTGGTACAGGCCGGCTGCAAGCTACGGATGATGAAACCCATTGACTTCCTGCATGTTTGGGAAATGTATGTGGAACAGGAAGGTGAGGTCTTTACACCTTGGGAGGATTGCCAGGAGAACTACGAGTACTATGTGGAGAGACTGTCCGATATTCTGAAGTAGATGTGAGTCATTGTGAAATAAAACAAATTTTTTTTGTATTATTTATGGGATAATAACTTTATGTGACTTTCTGTCTTGTTACTGTTGCAGGTCCATCCTGACTGAACCAGAAAGCAGCCTGCTTTTGAAATGATCACTGTTTGTTTTTCTTTATTTGCTCTCACATCTGATGCTGCAGATCAATTTTGAACTGAAAGAGCACATTTTTAAAAAACTTTTTATTTTCAAAAAACGATATACAAAGGTACAAGATTTGTAGATAAATATATCAAACAATTTTCAGGTTGTTCCTTTATAAGAGCAAAGCAAATACATTCATCAATGAACCAATAAAAAAAAAAAAACTGGAAAAAGTTACACTGACATCTGCTGTCTGTTTGGAGAACTGAAGCAAAAAGTGAAATATAAGCAATGATGCAACTTTACATTCAATCTGTTTTAATAGGCTATATATGCAATATACATCTGGATAGTCTCATTAGCCATGTAAAAGTGCTCACAAGGAAAAATAAAACAATTTGCATTAACAACTTATACATGTTCATGTAAGGCGCATAATAGCTGACACTTCAGTTTGAACTGAGCTGGACTAGCAACATGCTGAGGTTTACTGATAGCCTCACTGATGCCACTGATGTATTTAGAATATATTTAACTTCCAGTGAACAACATTTTGAGGTTTGTCTCAACCAAAAGAATGTTGAGGTCATCTCCTGTTCATTGTAGAAAGGAAACCATGGCAGTACCATTTTCTGTTGTCTCTTTTCCATTGGCTGTTACAGCTAAAGAAAAAAAAAAAAACATGCAGAAAGAGCAATCAGTAAATTACTTTGTTTTGCAAAGCATTATCATCCTTATCAGAGCGTTTCATTGCAGATTAAAGTACCTTGCTCCTCTGGCGAAGTTATTGGGAGTGGCGTTGTTTCAGTACAGCTTGTAGCATTCTCTTCCCCTTCTGCACAACAGATAAAAAAATGGGTTTAAATCTTGTCAGTTAAAATTTGGAAAATAAAATTTTAGTACAGGTTCATGCTTCGGACTAGTCACCAAGAGATTAGTTCATAATGTTTGTTTTTCTTTTACCTTTTGCGGGTGGATTCACATCTGCATCAGTAATGTACTCAACCAGAGGGCAGGGAGCATCTGCAGAAAAAATGGAAAGCAATTTGAACCTAAATGTTTGAAGCGGGTAATAAAATATGAAGCAAACTTAAAAAAGAAAAAAAAAAAAGAAACAAAAATATCCTTAAAGTGAATCACAAACTGGGTGGTGTGAAGCATACTGAGAAAAAATGCCTCCACACCCACAAAACCACACGAGGTGGGGTCTGCTTACCATTTCTGTCCTTTAACTGAGCCATGGTGAGAAACAGATTCGCTTCATCTTGCTTATCATCCGCATCAGCTGCAAAGAAATAAAAATTGAATAAAACTTTTGAAATTGTGCAGGAAGCTATTATTTGCCATATTTAAACTGAATCAAGTGCCACATATAACCCTTGAAACAACGTTTGCTCCTCGTCACAACTTCCTGATTTGTTGACTTTGAGCATTTATGGCACAGAGATGCATAATTATAAACTGACTGACTGTAAATCTAAACATAAAACATGCAAATCAACCTTGCCATTTTTTAAAGAGCATTTGTACATCCTCTCCTTTGTGTTCAGCTCATGATGTTAACTGATCGTTGAATGATGAAATTTATAAATAATTAGTTTTAAAAATAGTGTGTTTTAAAGTCACTTATTTATTTGCAGATTTATTTGTATACGACATACTTAGTTTTTTTTCAATGTTTCCTGGCACTAGATTGTGTGTGCAGCTTAAGCTGAAGGGAACTGTAGAAAACTAGCCTTTCTAAACATGCATGCAACACATTAAGAAAGTGTACACTTAAAAATCACAAACCTGGTTTGCGCAAAACTCTCATGACAATGCATCCAATAAAAACAGCTATGATACCAAAGAAAAGGCAGCCAGAGATGGAAAGAAGGACTCTCCTCTTTAAAACTAGAAATTGTACATAAAAAAACACAATTAATTAATAAACAAATAATGGGAAGAATTATGAAGTTAAAGCCTGATGACTCAGGTATACGCACGGAGGTTCTTGGTTTTGTAGGAGTCACTACGTTGTGAATATAGTGGTCTCTTGGTGCGTATGCCCTGGCAGATGTACTCGCTCTGATCTGGGTCATTCGAAGGCGTAACAGAATGCGTCGATAAGGACGCCTGATTAAGTTGTTCGCTCTCTTTAAACCTGTTTGAATCGTTTTAGAGAATTGACTACAATTGAAATAAACATATATGAATGGCAACACTGAATAGTAAACATTAAGGATTTGTATTATTACCAGGTGTAGTTCCAATTGTCTTGGCTGCCCACCACTTCACATTGAAGCTTGAGGCTGTCAGTGGAAAAGACCTCAGACCAGGTAGTTAACAGGACTATACTTGCCTTTGGGCGCTCTGGAGAAAACAGGCACAACTATGATATAAAACATTTATAAAGCAGTAAGCTTCGGTATGGAGAATTAAACAAACCTGCAACTGTAAGCTGTACAGCCCGACTCTTCTCTGAGTAAAACAGAGGGGTTTCTTCTCCTCTTCCAACTTGGCATTCATATGATCCAGTCTCAGACGTTGATGCAGAACTGATGTTGTGAGTGATTCCTGTTGGGCTGATGATATTGTTGTCTTTGTACCAAGAGTATTTCCATCCAGAAGAGACATTTACGTGACAAGTGAAGGAGATCGCATCGCCAGTGTGTAGCAATTTGTCGTCTGGATTCTGCAGGAGTGTCACTGTTGGTTTACTGTCTGAAAGTCAACAATAATAGCAAAGTGGATGTAAAATAGAGAGAGAAACCGGGATGAACAGTGTCTGTGCTTTAAGGGCTCTGTGTGTTTACCTTAGCTCACAACACAAACTAATATAAAATATAATAAAAAACAGCATTGTTTAGAGGAAGGAAATGATAAAAGGTTTTGAAAATGTATATAGAAAAAACTGAAATGCATTCAGCTCCGTTAAATCAATCATTTCTAAAAGCAGAATTTCTATAATCCAATCATGCTGCTTGTCTTTAGAGGAATGTCTTTAGATATCAAAAACTTTCCACATCTAGAGAATGGCATTTCTCATTGGATGGAAAACACTCATGTACAACATTTATCAGATATTGCCCCAGATTCTCCATTAAACTCAACCTTTCTGATAGATGAGGTTTCTTTTGCAGCCTCTAACAGATTGTAATCCATAATTTTCCAATCGTGCCTCACCGTCTGATGTAGTAAGGCAGCCAGCTATAGAGCTTTTTGTGCCATCTGAACTGTAGACGGTCTTCGAAATATTTCCTTTACATTACTTGGTTGTTAAAAGGTCTTTATCAATATTTTTTTACGATTTACAGATGAAGGACCAAACAGCATCATGGGATGCTGAGAATTCAATTTAGATTAATATCCAAACCCTTCTTCAAATTCTCCATTGTAGTACTGAGCCTGTTACTCTAGCTACATTACTTTTTTTATGCTGTTAGTTGTTAACCAAGGTTCCCTATCAAATTTAAGAGAGCTCAACAGAATTTTTTTTTAGCTATTTTGTGATAAAATTACACGCAGGTGTTTATGGTTGCATTTAGCAAATAGAAATGATTTTGGCAGGTATAACCATCTGAAACAAGAGATGTCTAATTGAATGTCAGAAAATGGGGGCAGTGGTGGTCTAGTAGTTAGGGCATAGAGCTAGGAATCCTGAGGTTCTGAGTTCGAGCCCCACTCCCACAGACCGCCACTCTTAACCCCATACTGCTCCCCGGTTGCTGCACAATGGAAGCCCACTGTCTCCCAATGGGATGGGTTAAATGCAGAGAGTGAGTTTCATTGCTCTCTACTTGTGACAGTGTATTGACAATAAAAAGCTGGGGAAAAATGTATATATATATATATATATATATATATATATATATATATATATATATATATATATATATATATATATATATATATATATATATATATATATATATATATGTTTTTTAAAAATATCTAATTTCATCTCTAGCTCATAATTAAAACTGTGGTTTGGAAAACAGTGTATTCTAAGTCACCGAAACCTGCAGTGACTTTTTAATTTATTTTCATTGAAGCTTTTAGATAATTCCATCATTGTATGGTTTGCCTCTTGTTTTCTTCCCTCTTTGAAGCTGTTCACCCCTGTGTTAATTTAACAAGAATGCATTCTCACCATTTCCTGTTTATACTGATTTAACTTCTGTTAATTCCAGCCTGACAACAAATAAACTCTTCTTTCCTAAATAGCTCCACCTACAATGCCTGCAGTGAGGTGTTCCTCAAAGAATCATGCTGACACTACAACATCCTGTTTCAACATAATGGCAACGCATTAAAAGCGGAAGCGCTTTGGTTCACTGAAACAGCTGAAACACCCCTTGGAATTCTTAAAGACCAAAACGCAAAAAGGTTTAGTTATAGAATGTTTACTTTATACCTCATTCTCCATGTACCTGTGTATACCACTATGTGCTTACCAGAGACATGCAGGGAAACAGGATCACTCTTTTCTGTTTTCAGTTGGCCTCTCCTAGCCAAGCATTGATGCTCTCCACTGTTTTCATTAGTCACATAAACTTTTCTTTCAAAACTTTTGCTGGTTGGACCGATTTTTATATATATATATATATATATATATATATATATATATATATATATATATATATATATATATATATATATATATATAAATATATATATATTATACTACTCTCAAATCTGCAGGTATTCATTTTGTTTGTCGTCTCCCAGTTATTAAAACTTTTATATTTGGATACAAAAAAAAATCTGTGAATGGTCTTCTCCGGGAGACAAATTTAACTGGCTTAACCTTTGTGTGCAGGGTGTAAAAATGTTCTCTGCTGCTCAAATGTTGACTCAGTTTTTCCTATGGTGGTTGCAGACAAAGATAGTGCAGTTCTTCCATGTGAGTTTTTTTTTTTTTTGTGTGTGGCTTCTGACTGCATTTGAAAAAAAATTACATTTTGTCCTACATCAAACTTGGTGCAGATGGATGGTTTTCGAAAAGATTCAATTTTAATCAAAATCCAGATCTTCTTAAAATTGTGCAACAAAATTAATATCCTACTGTTAGAAAGAAACAAGAAATGCTACTATCTTTACCCAAAAAAACCAACAGATTATTCATTAAACTTGATAAACACAGCAAGGTTTTAGCTATGATTTTTTTCTAATTAACAATCCAGTCAACAAAATTTTTAAATTTGTGTTTCTCTTTTTAAATAAGGTTAATAAGGTATAAGACTTTATTTATTTTCTAAACTCTAATTTACAGATTGCTTTTTTTATTTTTTATTTTATTTATAAATTTGAGTTCTTTGTTTCAATAAAATGATGTGGATCAGGTTAAAATTTGATCAATTGTACAACTCCTAACAAATTTACATTTCTAGTAAACTCTGCTGATTAAAATATCTAGACACCGGTTTGTATAGGCACTAACAAGAGCAAAACAAAACACTTTTGCAATAAAAAAATCACTAAAATATTATTTTAATGGTCAGGTAAACTAAACACCCATCAGCTGTGATATATATATATATATATATATATATATATATATATATATATATATATATATATATATATATATATATATATATTTATATATCTCTATTGTGTACGAGTTTCCATTTTGCTTTTAGAGTGAATATGAGACTTGTCTAAATTAGCTATATGACAACCTTAATTTAGAAGAAGAATGAACACCTTTCAGTTAAAGTATAAAATCAAATATATTAATATAAAGGCACATAAGGTGTGTGTGTATTGGTGACAAGAAAAAAAAAATCCCTATTTCGGTTTATTTATATAGTATAGTATTTTATTCTTTAAATTTATAACATATTTTGCTTTGTATTGTGTGTTGGACTGCTATCTGTTCCAAATAGTACTTCTGGACATGAAATGCATCAATCAACCCTTTTGTTCACTTCAGAGAACATATGACTTGACAATATTAGCTTTCTCTAGTGTGTTCATACATAACCATTTTAAATATCTACAAAGCTATAAACACTGAAACACAAACTCAAGAATGGATCAATCTAAACTGTTTATTAACTCTAATTCAACATGTTTGCAAAGCTGCTTTGTTTTGCACAAATAAACTACTTCTTTATATTAATTATGTTGGCATGGGTATGTTACTTATTATTCTGTGGGTCTGTGCTTATAATGTAAAGTTGCATTAAAATTGTAACACTGACATGTTACACATTTAGAATGTGAAACTAACACCTTTGAACTGAGTACGTAAGAGCAAGATTGGGGTTACAGCATTTCTGTGTCTTTTACTGAAGCTGAAAAAAAAGTCTGCTTGCTTAAGTTGTTTCTATCATTTTAACATTGAACACTAAGAGGTATGCTGTAAATATTTTCAGAAACATTTAGAATCACGGCGCATAATGTAATAAGGTAGTAGGGTGGCTGAACTGTCTTTCCTTAGGTTACATGTGTTGTGCATGACCTCAGGCCATATGGGCACAGCTTACTGTGGGGTTTTGTCATCAGCTCAGAGAACATTGTGTCTGAGCTGTAGAAATGCTCTATAAACAAGACCCATGGATTTCCCCAAATAATCTGAAGACATATTAATCTGAGTGTTAGTAAACTAATGATATTAAGAAAAGTGAAAAAAGAACTTTCTACTCATTATTTTGACATTTAGAAAGGAATCCTAACTGACCTAAAATGACCTAAAATTGAAAAGGTTGAGCTTAATTTAATATCAGACCAGCTGTGCCTTTAATAGAGTAAACATATAAATTTAATCAGTAAATCAAATGACAGAAATATATCACTAAAAGGGCTTTTTCAACAACACCAATGACTGAAAAGCAAAGCATTATTCTTATTTCGTCTTTGCTTTTATCAATAAGTTTCAGCTGTTAAATAAAAAAAAGAACTTTATATTTAAGAAGCTTTAAAATAACCTCACATAAAAGCCTAAATATAAAAATAAAAAAACGTCGGAAAAATGGGGAACAACAGGTGGGTATAATGGAACATAAAATGAGGAACTAATGGCCTTCCCTTTAACAGTACAGTAAAGCACATCTAATATGTTATTACTTTTTTTTATCTGTTTGGCAGAACATCCTGTAGGCTTTTGTAACTTTATATATTTAACAGCCTATTTCATTTTCAGCTATTTTTAGAAGAGAGTTTGCATTGTATTGTTTATGGCAATAATGTTTTCATAACTATCATTTCATCATTCAATCTGACCTTGCAAACAGATTCCTTACAACAATCAGACTTATTTCTGCATCTCTAAGATACCTTCTGTCGGTGACATTCCTGTAGTCATGTCACCAGCTGCACTGCAGCTTTAGGATCATTCTAAAAATAGCATATTGTAGTTTGTTAATTTTTTTAATATTAATGTTAAACGAAAGCAATAAAAACTTACCATACACAGTGATAACTATTGTGTCACTTGATGCAGAAGAGAGTCCTCTGGATTTAATTTCAGCTTTGCATGTATATACCCCTTTGTCATCTTTTGTGACAGAATCAATATTGAGAGATGGTCCCTCTGTTTTTAGCTTCTTTTGGTCTTTGTACCAGATGAGTGTCCATATGGAGTCTGGCCCTGTACAGCTGAATCTCAACTTTTCCGTTTTAAACACATCAGTCCAGGAGGTCTCCAGCTTTATAATCGGGGTAGGTGGTTCTGAAAGGGTGCATTCAGAAGATGTTTGCAGATTAAAGGCTACAGTACACAAACTCATGTAATCACAGCTATTTCAAAGAATGTTCTTTTATTATAATGCATGAAGACATTGCGATAGATTGAGCATACATGGGAGCTTACCAGCAACTTTTACTGATACATCATTACTTGTGTAGAGTTGACCTCCTCTTCTCTGGACTTTGCATTGGTATTGGCCATTGCTGGAATGAGTCAGTGGGGCTGCTTTATAATTATTAATGGTGGATTCATGAATTTTACTCCCATTCTGATACCACTCATATGTCCAACTCGAGGGCACATCGACATTGCATGTGAAGTTAATCAATTCTTTAGGGTACCATGTTTCAAAGGCTGGGCTTGATGTTAGAGAGAGCTTTGGGTTTTCTATTTGAAAAGAATAGAGAAAAGGAAGCATTTTAAAACAAGTTGTTAATGAAGAAGTGCTAAGACAGGGGGAAAAAAAGAGAAAATAAAGCATCATCATGAGTTTTAGATTTCACTTTAGGTTACTGACAGGAGAGCTTGTTCACAAGACATGAAGGGCCTGTGGTCTCATTGCTTAGGATCCATACTAAAAGTGAATGTATGCCACACAGCCAAAAATGGAGTAAAGCAAAAAAAAAAAAAAAAGAAAAAAAAAACTAATTCTAATTTATAAAAAAAAAAAAAAACTTTCACACACAAAACCAAGCAATACTTTAAATTTTATGTACAAGGCTCCCCCTTATGTTTGGTACTTAACACGTACACATTCAACAATAAATGGCTGATGCCCAGCACTACATGAAACTCTTTCTGTATTTAAATAAGGCAGCTGATCAAAACTATTACATGGTATCCAATAGCAACCACTGGGAAGAGAGTGAACAAAGTCCAGTTTAACTGAGAACGTGGTCAATCTAGCAATCCCAGTGAAATAATGAGCATTTTTACCCTTAAAGTATGATAATTAGATATAATGCACTTGACTTAAGAGACAGCAGTTTTTTCTCCTTATTTTAAATGTAAATTGTTTTATCTCATTGGCACAGTATCTCACTTACCTGAAAAATCCACTTATTTTTGAAAAAAATTGACCTAGATTTAAATTTTTTACATTAAAGCTTCAAGAGGACTCTTTAATGGAGCCGTCCTGGATTTAAATTCAACTTACAGAATAAAACTGTACATTAAAATGATATCTTAACAAAAATATTAAATGTATTTCATTTTAATTCATTGGATTTTTCTGTTCAACTTAATAGTCTTACTTAAAAAACTTTAATAGTTTTAAGGCAATCAATTTATTGAAATCATATATAGCATATGGTTATTATTTTTTTAAGCACTAAAAGAACTTGAAACCATAAACTCAGCATCAATGGGAAAGTCAGAATCAATTGAAGGAGTGACAAAAAAATTACTACCAAGTCAAGTTCTGTTTGTTACCTGGTGCTACCTTTCAATGGCCTTTTTTTCTAGTTCATTCAATTTACCACCTTATACTATGTTTTACCACCCTGCATATAAACCCTGTGAGAAAGAGATAAATGTGTTGATGATTGTGCAGGATACTGGCCCTCGAGGACTGGAGTTTGACACCTCAGGCTTTTTCTCGAGAGTCAGTGTCACTGCTTCAGCACACCTGAATCAAATAATAAGATTATCAGCAGAGCTTAACCGCATGCTGAGGAGGTAATTAAGCCATTTGATTCAGGTTTGTTGGATCAGTGACACATCTAAAAGTTACAGGTTACCGGCCCTTAGGAATTTTAAATTGACACTCAAGCTCTAGGGACTGTAACCTTCTCATCATTATGGGCCAATTATTATTAGGGATCTTTAACAACAGGTTTTTCAACTAATTTTCCCATTTAAAGTGTCCAGAATAGTCAAAGTACTAATTATGCACCATTATTTCGTTCAGATGTTTACATCATCCTTGTTACAATAGTTTTATTTGACCAACAGGTCAGCTGAGCAGTGCAACCAGCAGATATATCGCACTGACATTGCAGGTCAAATAATGTCATTCAAAAAGGATAGTTAAGTGAAATCAAATATCTGAGGCGAATTATGGTGTAATCTAGCTTCAGTTCCCCACCTCAGTCATTATCTGTGTCACTTATTTCCCCTGACTCAAAATGTGAATACCCATTACAGATTGGTCAGAGTTTGCAAGAGAGAATTCAGTTTCAGCACTGTTTTCTGAATAAATATGTTTTAAAAATAATTAACCCCAGGGAGAATAGACACATTCTGGCTTCTTGTATTGGTGCTGATTCCCTGAAATAAAAGATGAAAACTCACGATTAACAGTAAGGCTTTCGGAATTGCTGACTCCGGACTTGACTGCTCTGAATTTATGCTCAGCTTGGCAGGTATATCGTCCAGCATCACTTGCAGTAAGTGAATTGATGTCGAGTCGTGGTCCCTCTTTATTCAGAGGTTGTTGGTCTTTGTACCAGATGATCCTCCACTCAGAGCCGGTCAATTCACATTTAAAGGTCACAGCTTCACCTATGAACAACTCAGGCCAGGGACTCTGGTTTTTTAGAGTGGGTGTAGGTAGCTCTACAAAAATGCATTGGAGTGATAATTAGCTTTACATCATTAAAAGGAAAAACTAAACAGCAAAACATGAATATTAAACGAACCTACAGCAGCCAAAGATGTCATAGAAGTCACCTTTTACTTTAACCTCAAGTGATTTACTAGTTTTAGAATAACAAACACCACTCTGGTCCTTTCCTTGGCATGTATAATGCCCAGCAAGATCCTTTCTATTTGCATTTATTGTTAGCACTGAGCCGTCATTTGGAAAAGAAAAATCTGAGTTTTGCCCTAACAACTGTCCATCTCTCTCCCAGGTAATTAAGCCATTTGATTCAGGTTTGTTGGATCAGTGACACATCTAAAAGTTACAGGTTACCGGCCCTTAGGAATTTTAAATTGACACTCAAGCTCTAGGGACTGTAACCTTCTCATCATTATGGGCCAATTATTATTAGGGATCTTTAACAACAGGTTTTTCAACTAATTTTCCCATTTAAAGTGTCCAGAATAGTCAAAGTACTAATTATGCACCATTATTTCGTTCAGATGTTTACATCATCCTTGTTACAATAGTTTTATTTGACCAACAGGTCAGCTGAGCAGTGCAACCAGCAGATATATCGCACTGACATTGCAGGTCAAATAATGTCATTCAAAAAGGATAGTTAAGTGAAATCAAATATCTGAGGCGAATTATGGTGTAATCTAGCTTCAGTTCCCCACCTCAGTCATTATCTGTGTCACTTATTTCCCCTGACTCAAAATGTGAATACCCATTACAGATTGGTCAGAGTTTGCAAGAGAGAATTCAGTTTCAGCACTGTTTTCTGAATAAATATGTTTTAAAAATAATTAACCCCAGGGAGAATAGACACATTCTGGCTTCTTGTATTGGTGCTGATTCCCTGAAATAAAAGATGAAAACTCACGATTAACAGTAAGGCTTTGTGAATTGCTGAGTCCGGACTTGACTGCTCTGGATCTATGCTGAGCTTGGCAGGTATATCGTCCAGCATCACTTGCAGTAAGTGAATTGATGTCGAGTCGTGGTCCCTCTTTATTCAGAGGTTGCTGGTCTTTGTACCAGATGATCTTCCACTCAGAGCCGGTCACTTCACATTTAAAGCTCAAAGCTTCACCTAGGAACAACTCTGGCCAGGCACTCTCCTTGTTTAGAGTGGGTGTAGGTAGCTCTACAAAAATTCATTGGAGTAATAATTAGCTTAAAATCACTAAAAGGAAGGAATAAGCAGCAAAACATAAATACTGAACACACCAACAGCAGCCAAAGATATCATAGAAGTCACCTTTTACTTTAACCTGAAGTGATTTACTAGTTTTAGAATAACAAACACCACTCTGGTCCTTTCCTTGGCATCTATAATGTCCAGCAAAATCCTTTCTATTTGCAGTTATTGTTAGCACTGAGCCGTCATTTGGAAAAGAAAAATCTGAGTTTTGCCCTAACGGCTGTCCATCTCTCTCCCAGATAAAGATCCAGTCAGAACCGCTCCTGACACTGCATGTTAGTTCTACTTTCTCAGAAGATGCTGCTCTTGAATTGCTTAAAGCTACAGTGTGTAATTTTTAGCGAAATCTAACGTCCAGACTGCAGACAGCAGCAACATGAACATCTCCCCCCCACCGCTTCTCCCCCCCAACAGTACGGCGAGCGTTACGGGACAAAATGTCTTCCACGACGTCCGCATCACCTATCTTCTCAAGTGATGAGGTTTGTTTACATAGATAATTTTACAGATAGTATTCTAAGGCATAATACTGCCATCTATTGTTCAGTACCGTCTCAGTTCATCTCTCTCAACTTGCCGTAGTTACTTTCGAGCGTAATGGGGGATCTCGCAATCGCTAGTTTGTTGGCTCTGCGCTGCCGTAGCGCAAAGATGTCTGCCTCCATGGCTGCGAGACCCGCTCCTGTGTAATTATAAATAACGAATTCTAAGGCAACGCAAATATTAAGGTTAAGAGGCTGAGCTCGTAGATGATGATAAATAACATAGTTATGTATAATATATTACATTTCTGACTGTATATCCCTGTAATTATTACACACTGTAGCTTTAAATGAGCCAGAATTAAGCTGTTTTTTTTTGGCACATCCAGAGTCCAATTATATCTTAATGTTTAAATAATATATTTTTACAAATTCAAACTACAGTGACTATGGTATAGAAAACAGGAAAAAAAGATATATAAAATCTATAAACTGCTAATAAAACTAATAGACTTGAAAGATAACTGTGATGACACACCTTCAATGCTCAGTTTAGGGAGCTAATTTTATTAAATATAGCTTAATGAAATTAGCCGCTAACCATATCTTAACTTTAGGGTTTATTTGGGGCAGCTTAGTGTGTCATTACCACAGCTATGAATGCTGATGCTGTGCCTCTTGATGAAACCACCTGATGGTAGCTGTAGAAACTGTGCCTTCAAAGAAGAGGACTTAAACAAAAACTCTCTACAGTTGAGATCAGGAAAATGTTTTAAATAGACACTTTCTGGCTTCTTGTATTGGTGCTGATTCCCTGAAATAAAAGATGAAAACTCACGATTAACAGTAAGGCTTTCGGAATTGCTGACTCCGGACTTGACTGCTCTGAATTTATGCTCAGCTTGGCAGGTATATCGTCCAGCATCACTTGCAGTAAGTGAATTGATGTCGAGTCGTGGTCCCTCTTTATTCAGAGGTTGTTGGTCTTTGTACCAGATGATCCTCCACTCAGAGCCGGTCAATTCACATTTAAAGGTCACAGCTTCACCTATGAACAACTCAGGCCAGGGACTCTGGTTTTTTAGAGTGGGTGTAGGTAGCTCTACAAAAATGCATTGGAGTGATAATTAGCTTTACATCATTAAAAGGAAAAACTAAACAGCAAAACATGAATATTAAACGAACCTACAGCAGCCAAAGATGTCATAGAAGTCACCTTTTACTTTAACCTCAAGTGATTTACTAGTTTTAGAATAACAAACACCACTCTGGTCCTTTCCTTGGCATGTATAATGCCCAGCAAGATCCTTTCTATTTGCATTTATTGTTAGCACTGAGCCGTCATTTGGAAAAGAAAAATCTGAGTTTTGCCCTAACAACTGTCCATCTCTCTCCCAGGTAAAGATCCAGTCAGAACCGCTACTGACACTGCATGTTAGTTCTACTTTCTCAGAAGATGCTGCTCTTGAATTTGCTTAAATGAGCCAGAATTAAGATGTTTTTATTTGCCACATCTAGAGTCCAATTATATCTTAATGTTTAAATATTATTTTTTTTTACAAACTCAAACTACAGTGACTATGGTAAAGAAAACAGAAAAAAAAAAGATATATAAAATCTATAAACTGCTAATAAAACTAATAGAGTTAAAAGTATGAAATTAGCCGCCAACCATATCTTAACTTTAGGCTTTATTTGGGGCAGCTTAGTGTGTAATTAGCACAGCTATGAATGCTGATGCTGTGCCTCTTGATGAAACCACCTGATGGTAGCTGTAGAAACTGTGCCTTCAAACAAGAGGACTTAAACAAAAACTCTACAGTTGAGATCAGGAAAATGTTTTAAATAGACACTTTCTGGCTTCTTGTTTTGGTGCTGATTCCCTGAAATAAAAGATGAAAACTCACGATTAACAGTAAGACTTTCTGAATTGCTGACTCCAGACTTGACTGCTCTGGATCTATGCTGGGCTTGGCAGGTATATCGTCCAGCATCACTTGCAGTAAGTGAATTGATGTCGAGTCGTGGTCCCTCTTTATTCAGAGGTTGTTGGTCTTTGTACCAGATGATCCTCCACTCAGAGCCGGTCACTTCACATTTAAAGCTCACAGCTTCTCCTATGAACAACCCTGGCCAGGTGCCCTCGTTTTTTAGAGTGGGTGTAGGTGGCTCTACAAAAATGCATTGGAGTGATAATTAGCTTAAAATTACTGAAAGGAAGGAATAAGCAGCAAAACACGAATACTGACCACACCAACAGCAGCCAAAGATGTCATAGAACTCACCTTTCACTTTAACCTCCAGTGATTTACTAGTTTTAGTATAACGAACACCACTCTGGTCCTTTCCTTGGCATGTACTGTATAATGCCCAGCAAGATCCTTTCTATTTGCATTTATTGTTAGCACTGAGCCGTCATTTGGAAAATCTAAATCTTAGTTTTGCCCTAACACCTGTCCATCTCTCTCCCAGGTAAAGATCCAGTCAGAACCGCTACTGACACTGCATGTTAGTTCTACTTTCTCAGAAGATGCTGCTCTTGAATTTGCTTAAATGAACCAGAATTAAGCTGTATTTCTTTGCCACATCCAGAGTCCAATTATATTTTAATTTTTAAATAATATATTTACAAATTCAAACTACAGTTCCTATTGTATAGAAAACAGAAAAAAAGATATATAAAATCTATAAACTGCTAATAAAACTAATAGAGTTGAAAGATAACTGTGATGACACACCTTCAATGCCCAGTTTAGGGAGCTAATTTTATTAAGTATAGCTTAATGAAATTAGCCACCAACCATATCTTAACTTTAGGGTTTATTTGGGGCAGCTTAGTGTGTCATTAGCACAGCTATGTATGCTGATGCTGTGCCTCTTGATGAAACCACCTGATGGTAGCTGTAGAAACTGTGCCTTCAAAGAAGAGGACTTAAACAAAAACTCTCTACAGTTGAGATCAGGAAAATGTTTTAAATAGACACTTTCTGGCTTCTTGTATTGGTGCTGATTCCCTGAAATAAAAGATGAAAACTCACGATTAACAGTAAGGCTTTCTGAATTGCTGACTCCAGACTTGACTGCTCTGGATGTATGCTGAGCTTGGCAGGTATATCCTCCAGCATCACTTGCAGTAAGTGAATAAATGTCGAGTCGTGGTCCCTCTTTATTCAGAAGTTGTTGGTCTTTGTACCAGATGATCTTCCACTCAGAGCCGGTCACTTCACATTTAAAGCTCACAGCTTCACCTATGAACAACTCTGGCCAGGGACTCTGGTTTTTTAGAGTGGGTGTAGGTAGCTCTACAAAAATGCATTGGAGTGATAATTAGCTTTACATCATTAAAAGGAAAAACTAAACAGCAAAACATGAATATTGAACGAACCAACAGCAGCCAAAGATGTCATAGAAGTCACCTTTTACTTTAACCTCAAGTGATTTACTAGTTTCAGTATAACAAACATCACTCTGGTCCTTTCCTTGGCATGTATAATGCCCAGCAAGATCCTTTCTATTTGCAGTTATTGTTAGCACTGAGCCGTCATTTGGAAAAGAAAAATCTGAGTTTTGCCCTAACGGCTGTCCATCTCTCTCCCAGGTAAAGATCCAGTCAGAACCGCTACTGACACTGCATGTTAGTTCTACTTTCTCAGAAGATGCTTCTCTCGAATTTGCTTAAATGAGCCAGAATTAAGATGTTTTTATTTGCCACATCTAGAGTCCAATTATATCTTAATGTTTAAATAACATTTTTTTACAAACTCAAACTACAGTGACTATCGTAAAGAAAACAGGAAAAAAAGATAAAAACGATATATAAAATCTATAAACTGCTAATAAAACTAATAGAGTTGAAAGATAACTGTGATGAAACACCTTCAATGCTCAGTTTAGGGAGCTAATTTTATTAAATATAGCTTAATGAAATGAGCTGCCAACCATATCTTAACTTTAGGGTTTATTTAGGGCAGCTTAGTGTGTCATTAGCACAGCTATGAATGCTGATGCTGTGCCTCTTGATGAAACGACCTGATGGTAGCTGTAGAAACTGTGCCTTCAAAGAAGAGGACTTAAACAAAAACTCTCTACTGTTGAGATCAGGAAAATGTTTTAAATAGACACTTTCTGGCTTCTTGTATTGGTGCTGATTCCCTGAAATAAAATATGAAAACTCACGATTAACAGTAAGGCTTTCTGAATTGCTGACTCTGGACTTGACTGCTCTGAATTTATGCTCAGCTTGGCAGGTATATCGTCCAGCATCACTTGCAGTAAGTGAATTGATGTCGAGTCGTGGTCCCTCTTTATTCAGAGGTTGTTGGTCTTTGTACCAGATGATCCTCCACTCAGAGCCGGTCAATTCACATTTAAAGGTCACAGCTTCACCTATGAACAACTCAGGCCAGGGACTCTGGTTTTTTAGAGTGGGTGTAGGTAGCTCTACAAAAATGCATTGGAGTGATAATTAGCTTTACATCATTAAAAGGAAAAACTAAACAGCAAAACATGAATATTAAACGAACCTACAGCAGCCAAAGATGTCATAGAAGTCACCTTTTACTTTAACCTCAAGTGATTTACTAGTTTTAGAATAACAAACACCACTCTGGTCCTTTCCTTGGCATGTATAATGCCCAGCAAGATCCTTTCTATTTGCATTTATTGTTAGCACTGAGCCGTCATTTGGAAAAGAAAAATCTGAGTTTTGCCCTAACAACTGTCCATCTCTCTCCCAGGTAATTAAGCCATTTGATTCAGGTTTGTTGGATCAGTGACACATCTAAAAGTTACAGGTTACCGGCCCTTAGGAATTTTAAATTGACACTCAAGCTCTAGGGACTGTAACCTTCTCATCATTATGGGCCAATTATTATTAGGGATCTTTAACAACAGGTTTTTCAACTAATTTTCCCATTTAAAGTGTCCAGAATAGTCAAAGTACTAATTATGCACCATTATTTCGTTCAGATGTTTACATCATCCTTGTTACAATAGTTTTATTTGACCAACAGGTCAGCTGAGCAGTGCAACCAGCAGATATATCGCACTGACATTGCAGGTCAAATAATGTCATTCAAAAAGGATAGTTAAGTGAAATCAAATATCTGAGGCGAATTATGGTGTAATCTAGCTTCAGTTCCCCACCTCAGTCATTATCTGTGTCACTTATTTCCCCTGACTCAAAATGTGAATACCCATTACAGATTGGTCAGAGTTTGCAAGAGAGAATTCAGTTTCAGCACTGTTTTCTGAATAAATATGTTTTAAAAATAATTAACCCCAGGGAGAATAGACACATTCTGGCTTCTTGTATTGGTGCTGATTCCCTGAAATAAAAGATGAAAACTCACGATTAACAGTAAGGCTTTGTGAATTGCTGAGTCCGGACTTGACTGCTCTGGATCTATGCTGAGCTTGGCAGGTATATCGTCCAGCATCACTTGCAGTAAGTGAATTGATGTCGAGTCGTGGTCCCTCTTTATTCAGAGGTTGCTGGTCTTTGTACCAGATGATCTTCCACTCAGAGCCGGTCACTTCACATTTAAAGCTCAAAGCTTCACCTAGGAACAACTCTGGCCAGGCACTCTCCTTGTTTAGAGTGGGTGTAGGTAGCTCTACAAAAATTCATTGGAGTAATAATTAGCTTAAAATCACTAAAAGGAAGGAATAAGCAGCAAAACATAAATACTGAACACACCAACAGCAGCCAAAGATATCATAGAAGTCACCTTTTACTTTAACCTGAAGTGATTTACTAGTTTTAGAATAACAAACACCACTCTGGTCCTTTCCTTGGCATCTATAATGTCCAGCAAAATCCTTTCTATTTGCAGTTATTGTTAGCACTGAGCCGTCATTTGGAAAAGAAAAATCTGAGTTTTGCCCTAACGGCTGTCCATCTCTCTCCCAGATAAAGATCCAGTCAGAACCGCTCCTGACACTGCATGTTAGTTCTACTTTCTCAGAAGATGCTGCTCTTGAATTGCTTAAAGCTACAGTGTGTAATTTTTAGCGAAATCTAACGTCCAGACTGCAGACAGCAGCAACATGAACATCTCCCCCCCACCGCTTCTCCCCCCCAACAGTACGGCGAGCGTTACGGGACAAAATGTCTTCCACGACGTCCGCATCACCTATCTTCTCAAGTGATGAGGTTTGTTTACATAGATAATTTTACAGATAGTATTCTAAGGCATAATACTGCCATCTATTGTTCAGTACCGTCTCAGTTCATCTCTCTCAACTTGCCGTAGTTACTTTCGAGCGTAATGGGGGATCTCGCAATCGCTAGTTTGTTGGCTCTGCGCTGCCGTAGCGCAAAGATGTCTGCCTCCATGGCTGCGAGACCCGCTCCTGTGTAATTATAAATAACGAATTCTAAGGCAACGCAAATATTAAGGTTAAGAGGCTGAGCTCGTAGATGATGATAAATAACATAGTTATGTATAATATATTACATTTCTGACTGTATATCCCTGTAATTATTACACACTGTAGCTTTAAATGAGCCAGAATTAAGCTGTTTTTTTTTGGCACATCCAGAGTCCAATTATATCTTAATGTTTAAATAATATATTTTTACAAATTCAAACTACAGTGACTATGGTATAGAAAACAGGAAAAAAAGATATATAAAATCTATAAACTGCTAATAAAACTAATAGACTTGAAAGATAACTGTGATGACACACCTTCAATGCTCAGTTTAGGGAGCTAATTTTATTAAATATAGCTTAATGAAATTAGCCGCTAACCATATCTTAACTTTAGGGTTTATTTGGGGCAGCTTAGTGTGTCATTACCACAGCTATGAATGCTGATGCTGTGCCTCTTGATGAAACCACCTGATGGTAGCTGTAGAAACTGTGCCTTCAAAGAAGAGGACTTAAACAAAAACTCTCTACAGTTGAGATCAGGAAAATGTTTTAAATAGACACTTTCTGGCTTCTTGTATTGGTGCTGATTCCCTGAAATAAAAGATGAAAACTCACGATTAACAGTAAGGCTTTCGGAATTGCTGACTCCGGACTTGACTGCTCTGAATTTATGCTCAGCTTGGCAGGTATATCGTCCAGCATCACTTGCAGTAAGTGAATTGATGTCGAGTCGTGGTCCCTCTTTATTCAGAGGTTGTTGGTCTTTGTACCAGATGATCCTCCACTCAGAGCCGGTCAATTCACATTTAAAGGTCACAGCTTCACCTATGAACAACTCAGGCCAGGGACTCTGGTTTTTTAGAGTGGGTGTAGGTAGCTCTACAAAAATGCATTGGAGTGATAATTAGCTTTACATCATTAAAAGGAAAAACTAAACAGCAAAACATGAATATTAAACGAACCTACAGCAGCCAAAGATGTCATAGAAGTCACCTTTTACTTTAACCTCAAGTGATTTACTAGTTTTAGAATAACAAACACCACTCTGGTCCTTTCCTTGGCATGTATAATGCCCAGCAAGATCCTTTCTATTTGCATTTATTGTTAGCACTGAGCCGTCATTTGGAAAAGAAAAATCTGAGTTTTGCCCTAACAACTGTCCATCTCTCTCCCAGGTAAAGATCCAGTCAGAACCGCTACTGACACTGCATGTTAGTTCTACTTTCTCAGAAGATGCTGCTCTTGAATTTGCTTAAATGAGCCAGAATTAAGATGTTTTTATTTGCCACATCTAGAGTCCAATTATATCTTAATGTTTAAATATTATTTTTTTTTACAAACTCAAACTACAGTGACTATGGTAAAGAAAACAGAAAAAAAAAAGATATATAAAATCTATAAACTGCTAATAAAACTAATAGAGTTAAAAGTATGAAATTAGCCGCCAACCATATCTTAACTTTAGGCTTTATTTGGGGCAGCTTAGTGTGTAATTAGCACAGCTATGAATGCTGATGCTGTGCCTCTTGATGAAACCACCTGATGGTAGCTGTAGAAACTGTGCCTTCAAACAAGAGGACTTAAACAAAAACTCTACAGTTGAGATCAGGAAAATGTTTTAAATAGACACTTTCTGGCTTCTTGTTTTGGTGCTGATTCCCTGAAATAAAAGATGAAAACTCACGATTAACAGTAAGACTTTCTGAATTGCTGACTCCAGACTTGACTGCTCTGGATCTATGCTGGGCTTGGCAGGTATATCGTCCAGCATCACTTGCAGTAAGTGAATTGATGTCGAGTCGTGGTCCCTCTTTATTCAGAGGTTGTTGGTCTTTGTACCAGATGATCCTCCACTCAGAGCCGGTCACTTCACATTTAAAGCTCACAGCTTCTCCTATGAACAACCCTGGCCAGGTGCCCTCGTTTTTTAGAGTGGGTGTAGGTGGCTCTACAAAAATGCATTGGAGTGATAATTAGCTTAAAATTACTGAAAGGAAGGAATAAGCAGCAAAACACGAATACTGACCACACCAACAGCAGCCAAAGATGTCATAGAACTCACCTTTCACTTTAACCTCCAGTGATTTACTAGTTTTAGTATAACGAACACCACTCTGGTCCTTTCCTTGGCATGTACTGTATAATGCCCAGCAAGATCCTTTCTATTTGCATTTATTGTTAGCACTGAGCCGTCATTTGGAAAATCTAAATCTTAGTTTTGCCCTAACACCTGTCCATCTCTCTCCCAGGTAAAGATCCAGTCAGAACCGCTACTGACACTGCATGTTAGTTCTACTTTCTCAGAAGATGCTGCTCTTGAATTTGCTTAAATGAACCAGAATTAAGCTGTATTTCTTTGCCACATCCAGAGTCCAATTATATTTTAATTTTTAAATAATATATTTACAAATTCAAACTACAGTTCCTATTGTATAGAAAACAGAAAAAAAGATATATAAAATCTATAAACTGCTAATAAAACTAATAGAGTTGAAAGATAACTGTGATGACACACCTTCAATGCCCAGTTTAGGGAGCTAATTTTATTAAGTATAGCTTAATGAAATTAGCCACCAACCATATCTTAACTTTAGGGTTTATTTGGGGCAGCTTAGTGTGTCATTAGCACAGCTATGTATGCTGATGCTGTGCCTCTTGATGAAACCACCTGATGGTAGCTGTAGAAACTGTGCCTTCAAAGAAGAGGACTTAAACAAAAACTCTCTACAGTTGAGATCAGGAAAATGTTTTAAATAGACACTTTCTGGCTTCTTGTATTGGTGCTGATTCCCTGAAATAAAAGATGAAAACTCACGATTAACAGTAAGGCTTTCTGAATTGCTGACTCCAGACTTGACTGCTCTGGATGTATGCTGAGCTTGGCAGGTATATCCTCCAGCATCACTTGCAGTAAGTGAATAAATGTCGAGTCGTGGTCCCTCTTTATTCAGAAGTTGTTGGTCTTTGTACCAGATGATCTTCCACTCAGAGCCGGTCACTTCACATTTAAAGCTCACAGCTTCACCTATGAACAACTCTGGCCAGGGACTCTGGTTTTTTAGAGTGGGTGTAGGTAGCTCTACAAAAATGCATTGGAGTGATAATTAGCTTTACATCATTAAAAGGAAAAACTAAACAGCAAAACATGAATATTGAACGAACCAACAGCAGCCAAAGATGTCATAGAAGTCACCTTTTACTTTAACCTCAAGTGATTTACTAGTTTCAGTATAACAAACATCACTCTGGTCCTTTCCTTGGCATGTATAATGCCCAGCAAGATCCTTTCTATTTGCAGTTATTGTTAGCACTGAGCCGTCATTTGGAAAAGAAAAATCTGAGTTTTGCCCTAACGGCTGTCCATCTCTCTCCCAGGTAAAGATCCAGTCAGAACCGCTACTGACACTGCATGTTAGTTCTACTTTCTCAGAAGATGCTTCTCTCGAATTTGCTTAAATGAGCCAGAATTAAGATGTTTTTATTTGCCACATCTAGAGTCCAATTATATCTTAATGTTTAAATAACATTTTTTTACAAACTCAAACTACAGTGACTATCGTAAAGAAAACAGGAAAAAAAGATAAAAACGATATATAAAATCTATAAACTGCTAATAAAACTAATAGAGTTGAAAGATAACTGTGATGAAACACCTTCAATGCTCAGTTTAGGGAGCTAATTTTATTAAATATAGCTTAATGAAATGAGCTGCCAACCATATCTTAACTTTAGGGTTTATTTAGGGCAGCTTAGTGTGTCATTAGCACAGCTATGAATGCTGATGCTGTGCCTCTTGATGAAACGACCTGATGGTAGCTGTAGAAACTGTGCCTTCAAAGAAGAGGACTTAAACAAAAACTCTCTACTGTTGAGATCAGGAAAATGTTTTAAATAGACACTTTCTGGCTTCTTGTATTGGTGCTGATTCCCTGAAATAAAATATGAAAACTCACGATTAACAGTAAGGCTTTCTGAATTGCTGACTCTGGACTTGACTGCTCTGGATGTATGCTGAGCTTGGCAGGTATATCCTCCAGCATCACTTGCAGTAAGTGAATTGATGTCGAGTCGTGGTCCCTCTTTATTCAGAAGTTGTTGGTCTTTGTACCAGATGATCTTCCACTCAGAGCCGGTCACTTCACATTTAAAACTCACAGCTTCTCCTATGAACAACTCTGGCCAGGGACTCTCTTTTTTTAGAGTGGGTGTAGGTAGCTCTACAAAAATGCATTGCAGTGATAATTAGCTTTAAATCACTAAAAGGAAAGACTAAACAGCAAAACATGAATACTGACCACACCAACAGCAGCCAAAGATGTCATAGAACTCACCTTTTACTTTAACCTCCAGTGATTTACTAGGTTTAGTCAAACGAACACCACTCTGGTCCTTTCCTTGGCATGTATAATGCCCAGCAAGATCCTTTCTATTTGCAGTTATTGTTAGCACTGAGCCGTCATTTGGAAAAGAAAAATCTGAGTTTTGCCCTAACGGCTGTCCATCTCTCTCCCAGGTAAAGATCCAGTCAGAACCGCTACTGACACTGCATCTTAGTACTACTTTCTCAGACGTAAAGACGTCTAAATTAACTGAAGTTAGCACCAGTTCAGGCTCAGGAGGTTCTGAAAATGAAGAAAAAGGATTAAACAAAGACGTCAGAAGATGCTGGTCTTGAATTTGCTTAAATAAGCCAGAATTAATCTGTATTTTTCGCCACATTCTGAGTCTGATCATGTGTTAAAATTTACTTAATATATATTCAAATTAAAACTACAGTGACTATGGTATAGAAGCCAGAAAAAAAGATATGTAAAATATATAAACTGATAAAACTAATATAGACTTTAAAAATAGCACTGATGACACATTTTCAATACCCAGCTTAGAGAGATAATTTCCTGTGTTATTCCTATGTATCGCAACATTTCCGCCAATTTAGCACCATAATTGTTTTTTTTTTGTTTTTTTTACATACTTTTTTAATACACATTCTTAAGATGATATTTTATTTTGAAAAACTTAGCAATTTAAAACTTGAAAAATCTCCTCTTTAATAAAAGGAGCCAGTGTGAAAATATTACCATAGGCAGGTGTTGGAATAGTGGTGGTTTGATCTAATGAAGAGAAGAAAAGAGAGGAGAGATTAAAGTTGAATTTAGTACTAGGTTCTCATTTCATTTTTTTTTAAAGATTTTATAGATGATATATGTTGCATTTCAAAATTTGAATCCACTAAATAAGTGAGAAATTAAGTTGGATTGCATAAGGATTAACAAATTAACTTAAAATGGTGTAATTCATACATTATTATAAAATGGGATTTCTATCAATGATCAATTTTAGTTGTCATGCAATTGTACTTTCCCACAAAATGTGTTCTTTGTACTTAGCCCATGCCTTAGAGGACCAGTGAGCAGCTTTTTGCACAAAGCGTCCGGTGACTAACACTCAGGGACCCAGAGTGGCAGTCTGTGCTTCAAACTGAGGTTCTTGCAGCCTCTCCTGAACAAACTCACCCTGTTTTTTAACCACCAAGCTAACGCTGCCTGAGACTTCATGCCAGTACTGGCACCAGAACCACCATCTCCCATATAAAAGACAAATTCTGACACAACCAACACAATTTAGTACATGGAAAAACTAATGTACCTTCTGTTAAAAATTATGACTGCAAAACACATGACAACTAATAGCCTACTTCATGCTTCTCATGTTTACTTCCTGAGAATGGCGTTGGTCAGATTGTTAGTTAAATTATCCCAATAAAGTAGTTCAGGATATCAGAAGAAAGTGCAAGCATGTTTGGAAGTTTAGATTAACAGAACAATGGTGGGAAGCTGTTTTAAGAAAGATAATGTTAGACGGAAATGGCAGCCAACTATCAGAACAATACAATATGGTTAATCAATGTGTAGGCTCATTTAAGATTTTTCTTCCTACCATTTTCATCCTGAGCTGCACAGACAGCAGTCAAACCTTTTAAATCACATGAGAAAAAAAATTAGTAATAAATAAAATATGCATAAACTTTATAAACCTTTGAAGATATAAAGGATGTTGTTTCAAAGATTGAAACACTTACATATAAGCGCGAAGACCCGTGGAAGCAACATTTTCCATTGAGCTTCACATGTGGAGGTTGTGTTACTGAGTTGAGTAATTTAACTGCCAGGCAATGAGGCGCAGTAAAAGGAAATAAGCTTGCAGTCGAGAAGGTGTACAAAAAAAAATTCTGATCTCACCTCAGGATAGCAAATTTCCTCTTACTCTGACATCTGCTGTTCTTTTTTTTTTTTTAAGACCAATTCTGTTGCTTTAGCAACGTTTCCTGTCGGTGAACCACACTGAAAAGTTTGAGTGTTAAACATGCTGATTTGTTCCTAAAACCCGACAGAGAATTTGAGGAATTGAAAGAACAGTTGTTTTGGTGATTTTGATGCTGAATTCATCCTTTCTTAATATGAGAGAAACAGGTTGAGGGGAGACAAAGGTGGAACAATAAAAAAAAAGTTTTTTTCTAAAATAAGAATTGAAATATGAGCTGCATTATCAATTCCTCCTAAAGGAAACAATTTGCATTGACTGTGATATAAAGGATGGAAAGCAAAACCTTTTCTAAAAGCAATCTGAGTACAGTTTGCAGATATACTCTGGTTGCGTCCCTGCAACTTATTTAGGCATGTAAGCGGAAATGACTGCCTGCTTTTAAGCTCTTTCTATAACCACAAACTGCTCTTCATATTTTTTTGATGACCAGAATATAGAACCCACAACTTCAACTTCAAAGAAAACTCTGCTTATCTCTTAGTTTATTTAAGAATAAACATATTATTTTAAGTGTTGATGTATAGTAAAGTAAGCTATAATTATGTTGTTGTGTGAGGTTTGTTTGACTGCTGCTAAAGTTATTTACAAAAAAAAAAAAACACTTCCTGTCTGTCTAGGCGCAAGGATGCAGCAAGTTTCCGTTCCTCTGTCATTCTACAAAATGATCAAATCTACCACAAGGCGTCAGTATCTCACAGGAAATCACTTGGTGGGTTATGCATTCTAGAAGGAATTTTCAATCTGAGCCACCTGCTAATGCTATTCATAGCAAGTATTATAATTTATAATATATTTCACACCTTTAAACATAGATCAGTTTGTTGTGATAAGGAATCTTGATGAATTAATTATAATCTATTAACTACATTGCCACACAGCGTTAGCAGTCCAATATTCTCTGCCTGCTGCTTTAATAAACAGTTAAGTCATTTTAAAAGTAAATTTATACCAAATGACATAATATTCTATTTAATCAAAATATGTTAAATTATATTGTTTAATGTAAAAAAAGCAGAACAAGTTAAAGCTGTTTTTTTTTAACTATTCCAGTTAATGAAAACTGCTTTCAGGGCATTAATAATGACAAACCAAATGAGTAAAGCATAAATTGTTTGCTTTTAGCCTGCTGTGAGACAAGGGAAGGGTGCAAACACCATGTAAATAAATTATTTCACAGCAAATTCAAGAAGTCCTACAAAAAAAAAGTGAGACGTGCAAAAAAAAGAAAAACAAAATGATACTAGTAAACACAAAAATTTAACTTACACAAGAAAGGGGAGTTGATCATCAACTCATGCAACACCTAGGGTCTGGTTAAGGCCTGAAACTTGTGAATTAGTGTGGAAACATGCTGTCCTTCACTGCAAATCAGACTTATGTCATGTGTATGCTCATCTTTTTACACATTTAAAAACATGAAATTTTCCAGTGAGCTGTTTCCAAACAAAATGTATTTTTGTTTTACACTTGTGTAAACAAAATGACAAATAAAATCTGTCTAAAGTCAATATTGGAATAAATATAAAAATGACCTGCGATGGACTGGCGACCTGTCCAGGGTGTACCCCGCCTCTCGCCCATTGACTGCTGGAGATAGGCACCAGCACCCCTCGCGACCCCATTTGGGACAAGCGTGTAAGAAAATGGATGAATGGATGGATATAAAAAATGACGACAAAGATGATGAGGTGGAGTGACAAAGCAGATTAAGTCCTCTCAGATGGTTAATTGTATTTTACATAAAACATTAATAATGGACCGGCGATCAGCGACTTCCTGATGACTAGTTGAGCACATTATGCCACATATTAATTTGTAAATTTAACAATTTGTAATAGATTGACAATGTATATTTTTTAATTCAGCTATGACAACTGTGAGTAATGGTGTGTGATGTACGCTGATCTGTTGGAGGAATCAGAAGAATGAGTGAGTGATAAGCTCATTAGAAAAAACTCAAATCAGTAAGAACACTTAAGCCATGACAGAAGTGCATCCATGTTAACCCTAAGTGCTGTCCAAATAGTGCTGACATTTGGGAAGAAGCTAGGACCATGAAGCAGTGTGCTTCCTGGTGCAAGTGGACTTCGTATAGGAACTTCTTGACATCCCTAGCTGCCACAAGGAGCTTTCCCACAATCCTTTGTTTGACAGGATGTATAGCCACAGCAAACCTCACAAAGTTTAACAAAAAATGCTTTAGCCATTCACTACAACTCTCTGAAGAGAGATAACGGCCAATGCAATCATCATCATCCATGTACTCTGTGTTGTAATGACCTCCATAAGGCTGAATGCTTTCTGGATTCAGCACAGCAGTTAGCAGCCTCTTCCCTGCTGTGAATAGTGCTTTTATCTTGACACCGTGAATGCTGAAGGGATAGGAGGTAGGAGGTTGGAGCTACAATTTGAGGTATTAGGAATCAAGCAATGGTAATGTTTGTGTTCTGACCCCATATGAGTTAATGATTGACTTCCCCTAGAGGTCTGGACTACTTCATTATTCCTTTGTCCCTACACTGGTTTTCAGCTTTTCTTAACTTGCAGTTATTTTCACAATTTTCATCATTTTCCTTTGCATGTGTATTGTGTTTTAGCATCATTTTTGTGCTTTTAATACTTTTGGATTTGCTGTGAAATAGTATATTGACACAGTGTTCCCACTACCTGATTTTACCAACACAAAATGACAATCAAAAAAAAAAAAGGAAAAAAAAATCCAAAGCTTGTTTTTAATGTCACATGTGATTCTTCCTCCATTGCTTTAGTCATTCTTTAATATAATATGCAATATTTGATAAATTACTTGTATTTTGAAAAAGAGATTTTAAAAAAGTATATATTATTTTAATGTGCTTGTTCTGCAAAGAAAGAATACATCAAACAAAACTTAAAAACTGGAGCAACAGTTTATTCTTTTGCTTAAAAAGGAAGTTGTGATTTTTAGACCTGTCTCTAGAGCCAACAGATTAAGTCTAGCAGAGATGTATCTCGATCAATAAGAATATCATTAAAATGTTTTTCAGGAATTTAATGCAAATTTTAATTTATTACTTTCCATTAATTAGAGATTCACCGCTCATAGAAACTGAAAAAATTTATATGAAATTAGTACAGTTACAAAAACAGATTTGCGTGAAATCCTGCATCCATAGACTAGCAGGGAGAATGTCAACCTGTGTGCCTGCAGATGTAGAAGCCAGGGTTGCTTTAATAGCAGTCCTACACTTGTTGGTAGTTGCTTAGCTCTAGTCCTCTTCTTTACAATCAATCATAGTATATGGAGTTTAGGTAAGAGGAGATTGTTTGCTGTACAAACAGAGTCATACTATGCTCATTAAATTGGTATATATTAGCAGTGCGAACAGAGGCTAAGCTGGAAAATTAAATAAAAATCTATATAAAGCTCGTGGGAATCATGAGGTACTCTTAGATGATCTGATGGGTTGTTTTGTTCACTATAGACCTGATAAAACACACTGGACCAATTCAAGTAAATTACAGTTTTCCCCAAATCATTACTAGTATGGAAACAGACTTATAAAGCAAGCACACAGTCATTCCGTTAAGCCTGTCACCAAATGACCACTCAGGAAACACGATTTGCCCTTTACCTGGAGGAAAAGCCTTTTCTGTATCTACTACATGTTCATCTTTCAGGCTTATCCTCCTTATGAGTATATGTCATAAAGAGTGACTGTCAGGTTATCAGTCTTTTCCATAATTGTGTAGCCCATGACATGGCTAAAAAAAAATCAGTCCTTTATAGAAAATAAAAATAATGATGTGGTCTTATATAATCAAATTTGATGAAAACTATATAGTTGGTTTTTCAGTATCTATAAACCAAGTAAACACACAATAAATATCAAAATAAGTAATCCTGTATGAAATGAATATCCTTTTTTATTATTAAATTACTAATATAAATAAACTTTTCAATGATATTCCAATTTAAGGAGATATTAATGTCCACCAAAATTCTAATTTGCTCAGTTTAACATACCTTAAAGGACACAACATAACCCACATGACTTGTAATAAAATACACTTTTAATTAACATGATGAGGTTTTGCTTTAGCCCATTTAATAAATGTATTTTTTTTAATTGTAGGCTAAATCTAAACACAAGCAGGTAAAAGTGTAAAATATAGTTTTACATACACATCTCCATCTAAACTAACACTGAAAATGAGCCTGTATTGCATTTTATAAGTAGAGCAGTTGTCAAGACGTTAGTTTGTAAATAAATATTTGGATGTTGGCTTGTTGCCTTCTCCCCATCTTCATTGCCTACATGCTTCTTCCCAGCCAGCCGCTATATCTCCACACATACTCTTAACACTGAAAGAAAGATTAGACAAATATAGAGAGGAATTCAACAAATGATAATAATTTTCACATTTTAGTTCTGTGAATTCAGAGGATATTAAATTAAAACACATGCACATAAGAGCTGTCTTGCTCTTACAAGATACAGATTCCAAAATGCAATTGTTAATTTCAAGCAAAGTAGAAAATAGATGCTTTAAACTCACCTTAAGACCAAGACATCTGCTGTTCCTTTAAATTGCTGTGGGATGGATGATTAAAGACAAGATTTAAATGGAGTAATGGGGTGTTAAAATCCACTTTAAACAAGAATGTTCTGTTAAAATGTGCATGGATTAAGGCCTTAAACTCCTGCTGGATCAAGGATTCACTTTCCCCCAAGGATTATCTGGTTCTGTTTCTGCCCTCATAGCCTCTCCTTCTCCTCACAGCAGTCTTCTTGGCCTTCAACTCATGGTAATGTGATGAGTTTGGCTGTTTGTCAAATCATCTGGAGTCATTTTTAGAAGCTGTGAATCTCTGATCTAACATCACTGCTACCTTCCCACTTAAAGATGGTCCATGTCTAAACCTTTGTCTCTCCTAAGGGTGCCTTCCATGTATCACTGTTTTCTGTGCATTCTTTTTAAAAAGACTTCCGCATTTTAGGAACTGATATTATTTGGCATCAGATTTCTCTTTTGTCAACGTAATTGTAGGAGGAATGCTGCAAATAAAGGTGGGAAAACACCCAAACACAACCAATGATTCTATTTGACTGAAAAAATTCCAGACTCATTCATTTAGTCCACTGAATCACATTGCTTTATAATCATGGGGCATCTCTATGAAAATTATTTTATAATTTTGAATCTCTTTTTATTCTCGGTTGATGTTTTTGTCTTACAGTCTGAAGGACTTTACATTTTTCAGATGTGAGTGTGTTATAATCTGCATTTAGTGTGCATTATTGTTACTACTTTGAAATCAGTGGTTATGCCATAATACACTGGGTCCTGTAAAAGTAACTGTACATTAAATGGAGCAAAATATATCATTGCAATGTACATTTTCATCCATCCATTTTCTCCGCTTATTCTGTCAGGGTCGCGGTGGGCCAATCCTATCTCTGATAGTCTGTTTGCAAAAGGTGGGGTAGACCCTGGACAGGTCGCCAGTAATTTTTATTTTTTCAAATACATCTGGCTGTTATTTGTGCCTTAGTGTGGACTGATTTTGCTCAAATTCAATTGAGGGGAGTTCTTTGGTCAGCACTAATGACTTCTCTTATGTCAGTTATTAGCTACTTCTTTACCCTTTGGGATTCCCAAGTGTGTTATAATCTGCATTTAGTGTGCATTTAGTGTGCATTATTGTTACTACTTTGAAATCAGTGGTTATGCCATAATACACTGGGTCCTGTAAAAGTAACTGTACATTAAATGGAGCAAAATATATCATTGCAATGTACATTTTCATCCATCCATTTTCTCCGCTTATTCTGTCAGGGTCGCGGTGGGCCAATCCTATCTCTGATAGTCTGTTTGCAAAAGGTGGGGTAGACCCTGGACAGGTCGCCAGTAATTTTTATTTTTTCAAATACATCTGGCTGTTATTTGTGCCTTAGTGTGGACTGATTTTGCTCAAATTCAATTGAGGGGAGTTCTTTGGTCAGCACTAATGACTTCTCTTATGTCAGTTATTAGCTACTTCTTTACCCTTTGGGATTCCCAAGTGATCAATAATTTGTTCACTTCTAAATATTATTTGTTTGTTGCAGCACCTGAATCAAGCCTCATTTTAATTCCTTTAAGGCGAATTTAGGTGCTTGTTAAGTGCTAAGTTTGTGGCCTAATATAACTCAATCGAACTGATGTCAATCAAGGACAGTTTGGTGTTTAATATATCCCCTTGAATGAAATCCACACTGGGTAGAAAGCAGCTCCTAAAGGACATCAGTCTACCGTAGCGAAGTGCAGGGAGAAACACTCAAGAGGAAACGTACCCAAAATTAGAAAAGGGGGAAGCTGGCAGACGTTTTGGCCTTAACACCTTAAGGCTAGGAAGCCTATGACCTTTTTTTTTGGCCAAGTCTGGTCTCTGGATACCAAAGCAGACATGTTACTTCTGGAGCCGTGTTTGCACAGATATGACAAATTTTGCTGCTGGTTGCCTAACAGAAACTTGGCTTAACATTAACACGCCAGATTCAGCCTCGTAGATCAACAGTCATCAGTTATTCGAAGTTATTCCGAGTGTGATCACAACTCAGTAGAAAAACTGGGAGAAGGACTTTGTATGTGCATGAATAAAGGTTGTTGTACAAACTATGGACTGGTATAAAGCTACTGGTCAGAGGTAATCAAATATATGACTGCAGAATGCTATGTTGCCAATGGAATTGAATAAAGCGGTCTTCACTAGAGAATGAGCAACACATCAACCGGCCAATATTTCTGAGCAATAATTATGCTTTTTTTCTTGTATCCCTAATCGGCCAATACGTGCATGTGTTAGCTGATTCAAAAGTGCTTTCAGCAACCATGCCTTGAAATCTTGTGAAGATATTGCATAGCCACTCCCCTCCATTTGCTAGCTATTGTCCACATTTTGTTTAATTTGCTAATGTATCTTTTTTGTTTTATTTGAGACATGTGTAACATTTGCTATCATTGTGTCATTTTTCTTATGTAAATGGTTGAAGAAAAATCTATATCTTTTCCAATAATCAGCCAGAAGCTATTGTCAACACTTGTCGCGGATTGAATAGACTGATATCAAAACAACTGCTATATTCATTTGCTTTAAAAAACTTTTAACCAATTTATCTCTATTTCTTATCATTGTTTACATCCTACCTGGAGCTAATGCAGCCATTGTCCACCAGGGCTGTTTACATTGCACAGATTAGCACAAATTGTCTTCAGAGAGGGGGCCACATAGATTACAACCCCTCTGTTCTTTGTTTAATCTCTAACCTATTATCCAAACCAGAAACCCTGGCTGAATGGTGAGTTGAAAGCTCTGCTCAAAGCTAGGGATGCTGTGTTCAGGACAGGGACAAGCAGCCGTCTGAGAAGGGAGGAAAAGACTGTAGGCATTGCGAGGGCTAAATTCATATATGCCCAGGAATTGGTGGATCTTTGGTGATCAAGTGACACAACCAATGACCTGCAGCACATGTGGATGGCCATCAAATGCATCATGGGCTATAACATCAGAGCTGCAAGGACCCCTCATTGCCAGATGGACTCAACAGGTTCTACTGTATGCCCACTTTGAGGATTTTAACATCCCCATCAGGACCAAACTAACCTCTTGGTGACTGGCCCATCTTTTTAACCACATCCCAGTGCGGGTACTAAGGCAATATGGAACGTTGGTGTATGAGCCCTCTCTGTCACTGACATCTGTCCCTACCTGATTAAAGTCCTCCATTATTGTCCCTGTCCCCAAGTGCTCCACAGTGAAAGACCTGAATGAATACCAAACTATAGCCTTAACATCACTTTCTGACCATTAGATCTCGAACTGTCAGTATCCATAGCAACATCTCCTTTACTCTGCATGCATATTAGCTGTCACATAGTAAGTTTTGGAAATGACACAGCACATCACAAACAACTAGTCCATATACAGGGTAGATGTCTAACACCCTTGGCAGTGGTGTAGAGAATAACCTCTGCATTTGTGTGAAGAAGACTAAGATGGAAAACAGAATGGAAAACAGAAAGACTTAGAATGGAAAACAATCCTCTTCATTGCATGTACCTCTGACAAGCAGGTGTGGATATGGTCTCTAGCTGCAAACAGGCTGCCTGGGTGTGCATTTATCCTGTGAACTCACTTGGAGTGCCAAGACGTCCGTCTGGTCAGGAACGCCCATCTGTGTCTCTACTTCCTTAGAGAGCTGTTCTCCAGAGCTCTGCCCTGAAATATCTTTATCACTATTTGGTGGAGAGTGTTCTTTGCACATGTGTCATTGTGTACATTCACTGCTGCCAAGAGAAGGGCTCTGCAGAGGATTGTTAAGGCTGAACTGAGAAGTTTAGGGAACAACTTTCCCTCCACCACAGAGAAGGGCTGTGTTCACACAGTTTTAAATGTCCAAAAGGCATGCATTGCCATAACTTGGACACTGATGCATTTTGAGGTCAAATGCTCAGGATGTTCGACGCGCCACTCCAGCTATTGAGCTGCTCTGTTCTTTTGTTGCTTTCAACAGAGTGGCTGATTTGATCTGCTGTAAAAATATAGTTTTAACAAATATTTGAGAGAAAACACCTTAAAACGTTATATATTCAATCATTTCATCAAGATTATGATCCTACTTAATAATCTGTTCTGATAGTCGCCCAGTCGCTCAGGGACATCCTCTTGCCTTTCGTAGCAGGTAAAGGTGAATATAAAGCCTTTTTTAAACTTGTGGTAAAAATAGCAAGCGCCCAAAAATAAATTAGAATATTTTGGTTGGCAGGTTTTAACATTTTTAGTTAATGTGGGCATTTATTAACTGTTTTGCTGTAGTTTTGCTCAGTAAGTATATGTTTTAGTGATTTAATAATGATCACAGATGTCTGGCTTTTAAAATATGTGGAGTTTAACCCCATTAATTATATGAATTTGTCATATACTGGTAGTTTTGCAGAAGTGATCATGGCTTGCATGTACTATCTCTCTCCCAGAAAACTCCTGGTTCAGTTTTTCTGATTGGTTGATGGTCTGAGTTAAGCTGCTAAAGTTCAGATTTTTGAACTCCAGCATCGGACACCACAATGCCTCTCCCCTAAAGCTCAGGAGTGATGCAGGGCCTCTTGATGCTTATTGACTCTGTCCGTTATAGACTTAGCATGTAAATAAGATGCTCTGATGCCAAGAATGCTTTTGAGTGAATGCATCATTTTACACAACAGGATGCAGGGATTCATCTTACACACAGACTGTTCTAACTTTCAGGTGCGGCTCAGGAACAGGCAGAGCTCAAAAGCAGTTTTTATCCTGCAGCCACATTTATAAAGCGTTTTCCTAAGTCCAATACATATGTGAATGGTATGAAGAGATAAGAAAATATATAAGTAAAGTTACATTACTTTCCTGCACATGGCTTATTTTTATTTCAGATTTCCTTTCCTTTCTAAATATTTGTTTCAGGTTTTCTCCATTTTACCCCACAAGTCATGCTGCTGAGGCCAAGTTTTCTTTAGCAAATTGGTCAGACAAGATTGAAGTGAAATAAAGTTTTATCTAAAACAGTATGTTAAACAGAAAAGTATTAATAAAGTGCAGTAAGAATAGTGGTACACCTTTTGCAGTCAAATTAGCCTATGTGTCTATCAATGACTTACTGTCTTCTCTCCAATGAGTGGTCTAACTTTATCTTATTTTTATAAGTGGGTAAAAAGCTGTTTTAATTTGTTTTTAAGTGAGAAAGTCTACCTGAAAACTTAATCTGTGCAGTCAGTTCATCAAGATTATGATTCTGCCTTCAATTATTAATTTGCTGTCTGAGCCGCTCAGACCCCCATACACCAGTGGTGCTCAGCCACTTGGAATCCAGTTCAACAGCAGCCTCTTGCCTGGTAGCCTCTTCTGGGTTTTTTCACCACTGTTCGCGGCGGCTGGAAGGCGTTTTTCATAATAATCCAAACACATAATCCAAACTACAGGCACCATAATAATGAAATCGAACATATTTTGCCGGCAGAATTTGACATTTTAAGGTAATTTAGGTGTTAATAAACTGTTTCAGATGTGTGATCATAGCGATCTGCATCAGCAGTGCTGTGTCTGTCTCTCCCCCAGCTTCCAGATCAGCTTCTCTGAACTGGTTGATGTGGTGAGTCGAATAGCAAAAGCTAAATTTTTCCAACTCCAGCTTCTACTACTTTTGCAGCACATCCCGCGCATCAGATGCTCAGAAGCTCATGCGCACTGCTTCAGTTCCCTGGTGCTCAAAACGTGCTGCAGGACCTTTTTCTGCCCCTTGATGCACATTAACCATTGCCTTTGCATATAAACTAGCTGCTTCTGCTGCCTCTAACGCATGCAATCTGAACGTAGCATAAATCCGGATCAAGGGTTAAAGACATTTACAGGGACAAAAGATTAACAGGAATGATTGAAAAGGAAAAATTAAGGCAAGCTTAATAACGCCTGGTCAGCAGAATTATTGGTCTTCAGATTCTGTCCATGCATTACAGAAATATTTCGTCTCATTTATAGTTTTCAATGTAAAACCAATACAAAAACCGATGCTAATTTTTCTTTACGAGAAATTTTGGATGGGAAAATGAGACCTTATCTAAGCTGAATAACATCTATATATCCCGTCTAGTATTTGCTTTATGAAAAACTATTTTTAAAGAGTATGTTTTACCAAAAGGAAATTCTTCTACCCATGTCTGGTCTTAAAATGTGAATTAAGTCAATATTCTTTTTCTAGTAAAAAAAAAAAAAAAACAGTAGTCCCTTAGTTTTTAATATCATCACAAAAGTTATCCATGTATTATTTATATTGTTTTCACTCATTGTCAATGAACTTTTAAGACATTTTAATCATGTTTGTAATGTATTTATTTTAGCTGTATTTTTTGATAATGTAATATTTAAATTGAAGAATGTAGTTAAAAAAAGTTATATTTAACGAGTGGTGTTTACTTATGATTTTCTGTTTCCCTGCTATCCTTACCTTTGTTTTTCTTATTTTCCTTTTTCTTTGGCAGCGTCTGGAAGAATGACCTCTGTTTGGAGAGATTGATACTTGGAGTCAGTCATTCTTTACAATTGAATGCATTACTTTTTTTTTTTTATAAAATACAAGTACATACGTTTGACCTCCAGTTTGCAGGAGACCACAGCTTCACCCTGAGCGTTCTTGGCTCTGCAGGTGTACACACCACCATCAAAGCTGCAGGGCTTGCGGATCTCCAATGAGCAGATGCCTTGATTAGAAATCTTACGAAACTTGGGGTCATCTCCGATAATCATCTGATTTTTCAACCACTCAATCTGGGGCTGCAAATTAAATCGGAAAGTTAATAAAGTTATCATTTTCTTCATATATATATATTTTAGTTCTATTACATTAGTGGTCTTTTTTTTTAGTCCTATGACATAATTTTGGGAAGGCTTTGCTCCCCATGAGGCTTGCTTGACAAGCCCTTATGACTGACACTTTGACAGACTATTTCTCAATGTACAGGCATGAAGTTTATAATAACTGTTAATACATTTCCTTTTTAGCTCAATGTTTACAAAAAATTTTTCAACTTCTAGAAAATAGAGAAATATTCAAAATACAGCTAGCTTTCCTGATTGTTCCCCTATACTTTGGCTCACAAATAAAAAAATTTTATGCAAATATGCCACAAATATATGCAACAGTGTTCCAACTGCAGCTAACCAAAGCATAGTGTATTGTTTTATCAAGCTTTACTTATTAGGTGACTTTTGAAGAAAATTGTTGCACATGATTGTATTTTTGGGGATAAGAGTAAAAAGGAAAACGCATATATATAATTTCTCCAAAATGTATTTTGTAAATGATGCAGTGCTTTGTGTTGGTCTATTACATAAAATCCTAACAATTGGTAGTTTGTGGTTGCAATGTGATGAAATGTAAAAAACGTTATATTGACAACGAAGAGTTTTTGTTAAAAATATACCTCCAGTAAACTGTTTACATTTTACTCAGACCACTTTACTCTTACTGTGGATATAAATCTTTTACTGTCTAGATATAACAGAAACATGGATGCAAACAGTGTTTGTGCCTCAGTACAAGCATGTCTGTACACTTAATCTCATTTAGATAACAGAGACAACTGGTTTCCCAAAGACACCTTTCTCTTCTACCTCCATGAGATAAAATGAACAGTAACTGTCACTAACACTGATAAGGGAAGCACACTGCAGCCTGAATGGATGATAAAAATAGGACCTCCTGTGAATAAGCAGCATGTCCATGTAGACATAAAAGTACATCAAGCTTAACTTCTTATCATGGGCTCCTTTTTGTGTTCCTCTTTAGGCTCCTAATGTAGCCTCTTCCTCCATATGTGTAACTTTCTATCAGAGAGCACAGCTTATCAGAACATTGGAAACATTTCTCTGCCGCAAATTCAGCTGGCCCTGTGATCCGTTCCAGACAGCAAAGAGTAGTTATTTAAGCAAAGGCTAAATAAAAACAACACATTTAGTACTAAGCAAAGATTTATGGATGGTAAAGGATTACATCTGGGTTAAAAAAGAGAGAGAGAGTATACAGCAGAAGGCAAATAATGTCTGCACAAAACTAAAATAGAATAAAGATTTCAAGCTCCTAAAGATGTACCGTATGTAATAAAATGGTCACATGTGAAAGACTGCTCCCTGCTCACTACAAACAGCTGGCACAAGACTAGATCACTGAAATAGATTGGCTCCCTAGGTTAGACCAGATGACTCTCTGATTTATGACCTAAGCAATATTAAATAAATTCAGCCAAAACTTTTATTGAAATAACAATAGATTCTGACAAATACATGTTTCTGTGTGAATATTTTTTTGGAACAGCAGGTGTTTAAGGGGAGCAGATGAAACAACAGTAGGCTACTTCTAGGAGGCAGCTTCCTATTACCTGCATGCATGAAATCTACCAGCGTACCATTTTCTGGTTACCAACTTGACAGTTTAAGCATTTAAAGTCATATTGCCACTACCTTTTGCACTCCAAAGGCACTAAAGTTCAACTCATTATAATTGACAGAACGACAGCAGATTGAGTCCAAGTAAGGCATTTTTCTCCAGCTGCTACTGATTCCTGAAATAATTAAGATGCTAAATCATTTCTTTTTCAAAGATTGGTATGAACATTTTCAAACGCATACAGTCTTTACAGATTATTTAAAGCAAGCAAACTGAGGGTGTGCAAAGAGAATATCAAACATAAAGCACCTCAGAACTCAGCAAATTAACTCTAGATGTGTGTTCATCGCTTTTTTTTTTCTTTTTTTGTTTATTAAATGCATTTTTTCCACATATATTCAATAATCAGCCATATGTTGTTATCACATCATAATTTAATATTTAACAGTTTAATGTAATATGTTCCCTATAACAATTACTTGAAGGAAATATAAGAAAAGTACTTTTACCGTGTATTTCTCGACTGAATCTTTAAAGACTGAAGATGTATTTCAAGAACATATATTTGCCAAGTCTCTGAACGAAGGAGAGCTACCGTAATATCTATGAACCGCTATTCATAATATCAACTTATTTTCTTACTCGGGGGCATCCTCGAACAGAACACAGCAGCTTGGTAGTATATCCCACAGTGGCTGCACGGTTGATGAGAGGTGTAGTGAACTTTGGCGCCTCGCTGAAGTCATGTTCCTGATACTCAGGAGGTTTATAGACAATACCTATATGGAACACACAACTGTTATTTCATCATTGTATGGTTTGTAAAACATAGAGTATAGAGTATTTATACAAGTGTTCACTCTAAAAAGGGTTTGAATTTGTCAAATAACAAAATAATTATCAGAACTACTTGGGCAACCTGTGACTTTAATGTAACTCCCTTTATTGTCCCACAATGGGGAAATTCACTCTCTGCATTTAACCCATGCCCCTTGGGGAGCAGTGGTCTGCTATTATGTGGCGCCTGGGGAGCAGTGTGCGGTTAAGGGTTTTGCTTAAGAACCCAGAGTGGAGTAACTTGCAACATTCTCAAAGCACATGTGCACTGCTCTAACCCACTAGGCAAACACTCCCACAACGCTTTATATGTTATTTGTTGGTCATTATGTCAATTTCAACTATCAATATATCAGAGATAAAACAACAACTTTGAGCTAATGTTGTAGGCAACAAGCACAATCTGGCTTAAAGGTATAGATGACGATCTGTTATTTCCGGGTGGGCCATCTAAATAGGTGGTCCTCCTAATTGTAAATCATTCTGGTGATATGTTTACATAAGGCCATTCTACGTGCTTGTCTCGTTAGCTATCTTATTCTGCGCATTCAGGCGTGGTGAGCTACGGTTTCGGACAGTCACTGAAGCTCACTGAAGCTATATCCTGGAATGCTTTGCATGCTTTCATTGCAAAGCATTATGGGATTTGGTGTCACAGGGGCCCGCTGTTGCCACCTGACAGCAGCGACTAATAGCAAAGATGGTGGAGGCACAGTGCGCTGGAGGAGTAGTTACGTGTCAAATGAGGAGCAAAAAGCAGTGATCATCTGTCTGAACAGTAAGTTAACTGGGTTAGCTATAAAGTCCACTATATAGTCCCCACTCTATATAGTGATTGAGGGATTCAGGGGTTAGGATAGACATTCGGACACAGTAAGCTTGTTTGAGTGATGAGAACAGCAACTTTTAAATAGAGCGTGTACAAGGAGAAATGGGTTTGTGCATACTTTCGCACGCATTTAATGGGCGTTCCCTCTTGGGAGCGGTTACAGGGTTGTCCATGGGCATTTTTCTTTAAAGTGGAGAGGGTGGGTGTTTTAAAAAATTTGTGCAAATCCTCCACAATAACTTTAAAATATATGTAGTTGATCCTATGGCAATGGCTACTGTAAGTTTTTCTTTATTATCTATTTTTCACAGCAAAAGGAAAAAAGAAAAAAATAGAGGTCCATTTTAGAAGCCTCAGGCAAAATTTAGAGTCCACACTTTTTGCATTAATGCAACATTAGTTGTAATATAACGGAATAACTATCTGGGCAATGTTCATATAATGGTTTAGTGCACAGCATCAATGGACAACTCCCACATCATTTATACAGTCTTATATAGATAAACTGCACAACCATTTTTCTTGACAGGTTTATGCATAAACCTGTTCCTGCACACACACACACACACACACACACACACGCACACACACACACACACACACACACACACACACACACACACACAGCTCTGTCAGAGGTATTAATATTTTTATGGCTTTAAAAATGAATCTCAATTATAGTTGAACACTGGCCAAGACAGGCACCTACTTAGATCTTAAAGCAGTGCCAAGGTCATTTTCGCTCCTCAAGTATTCACTTCAGACACTAAATGACTAACTGCAGCTCATTAACGAAGCCGCAAGTGCTGACTGTAAAGCTATACTCATATAAACACATTTTGAATGAGAGGACTGCATGCAGCCAAAGAGTTACCTGTTTTTTGGATTGTTGCTGCATTCTTGGTAACAGCACTATTCTCACTCCTTCCAACTTGGTTTTCAGAAAACACCCTAAACAAGTATGAGTTACCCATGATTAGGTCTGACACGGTGGCTGTTAATCTATGGTAATGCTCCAGCACTGTGAACCATTCCTGTGGATGGACACACAGCAGACTGTTTACAGGTGTGCAAGTAAATAACGCCCACTTCCAGCATCCTTTGCTGTATTGCTTTTGCAGCTCTTCACACAAATCATACCCCAGTTTTCCTGTCGGCCTTCTGAACAGTGTATCCAGTGATATCTGAGTTTCCGTTGTCCTTTGGTGGAGTCCATTCCAGTGCAGCGTTAAAACCCCATGCATCTACCAGCTTCACACTCGTAGGTGGACCCGGGAGGTCTGAGGACGTAAACGAGGGTCAGTGATACATAAAAGATTCAGATCATAGCTGAGTTGCTGTTTATGTGACAGGGTAAAGGTTTAAAAAACAAAGGGTCAAAGGTCGCTGTTTATGCTATGCTTTCAACAGGAACAGCTGTGTGTCAATCAGTCAAACGAGAGCATTTTCATTGCTGTCTAGAGTGACTCAGAAAGTTCCATAAACATGCTTCTTGTGTTTACATTTGTGTGCGCTCAGTGGGGTTGTAACCATGAACCATGGTAAACTAGACTGACCAACAATCTGAAGGGTGATGGTTGCTTTGTCTTCAAAGCTCTCCACTTTTAATGTCATCTCGTAAATGCCAGAGTCATCCCTCTCAGCACTGCGGATGAACATGATGCTGTCGAAGTCACTGTTCCTGATGTTGACTCTCTTTTTATCCAAAGGTTGGCCATCCTTTAGCCAGGACACTGCAGGTTTGGGCTTCCCCTAAGAGATTTAAAAAAGCAGAAAATTCCCAATATACAGCATTTTCTTTTAAGGTTTAAAGATTTAAAATGTAAATGTGCACTTGGCAACTTACGATGAACGGAATGACAATGTTGATCTGCTCTCCAACCTTCCTGACGTAGCAGGATCGGAGAGAGCGAGGCAAGCGGATCTTGGGTTTTTCTAAAATGAAACAATATAAAATATACATTTTATTTTTCAATGGTCTCCCCTTTAGTTTACAGTCCTAAATACTGCACAAAATGTATCAGTTTTCTAGACTTAATCCTGGAAAGTGTTTTGTGTTTCCTCTTTAGTCGTGTGCAGTTGCATTGCCTCAGGATGGCAAATCAACAAGACACAGAGCTAAATGGATCAGACAAAATGAGGGAAAGCTCACACAGGGATAGCTAAATGTGCTTCTGTTGAAATATATTAGTGGAATTTAATTCTTTGAGAAACAGTTTTCCTCAAATGAACATACCGTACATATTTTTTTAATTCCTTGCACATTTTAACATGACTACAAATAATTATGGATGGCTAGTTTTATGTGCTCTGAGAGAAGTTTATAAAAAAAAACTGTATCTGGGCAAGGAGAGGTAAAAAAAGGAAGACCCTTCATCCAGCAGTGCCTTAAATAACTTAAGTGAAAGAAAAACCTTGGCTGAATCCCCACACGCCTCTTCTACACCTTGTGCAAAGAAATGAAGATGTCATAATTTTTAACTAACCATTGAGCTCTAATATCACAGCTAGAGTCAGTTTTATGTGCTGCTGCAGTTTGCCTTGCATACTGATATATGGATGAAATGACATCATGCTTGGGACTTCTGTAACATCTAAGAAGCCAGTATGTTAACTACGCTGTTCCGGATAGGGTCGAGAAAAGCATGTCTCACATAATCCTGCATAAGCAGCACATATCTCAAAAGTCAGATGAGCTTAGACGACATATAAAACCCTGTGCCATTTCTTCTCATCAACTTAAAATTCCCTTCTTTCTCACACCCCATCAGTCTCATGCTCATCGTCCTCACTGTGCTCCATGTTCGCTCTCTCTCACTCTCTGATCCGACATGCATCATCACCCTTTATCCTTACAACTGTTACTATATAATGCTGGGATCCGGCAACGGAAGCCATCGTTTCCCAGGAAGCTCAGGTTGGCCCCAGATGCAGCTCAAACACTGAGCCCCTCTAATTACCAAACCTGCCAGCAATGCCCAGAAGAGTCACTGGAATTGCAGAATCTACAAGGTGGCAAGTTGGACTACAAATAATACATAATCAGTCTTTGTCTGGAGATAAAGTATCTATGTTGAGGGAGGCTTTCTGCGCATATTGGACAAGTCTGCTTTCATCGGCATGTGCATGCCGATATGTGACTGACACAGAGCTGAATTTAACACCAACAAGCCACCCAGAATCCATTAATTAGGCTCATGTTTCGCTTCCCTCCGCTGGCCAGCACTTCTGTTTGGATGGTCATATGTTCCTCAAAGGTTCAATGTGTTCCCTATGGTTTAAACCACATGCAGAGAATATATTCAGCAAGCTCTGTCTTTGAAAGTGGATAAGTTGGGTATGTCAACACGTATGTGAATACCCTCTCAAGTTTGTCTTCAGTCTGTTCACTGCTTTTATTAGTAACAATGATGATTTTTTTATTACGCATGAAAAATGAACAGAAGGTAACATATTGAGTGAAATTTATATACTTTTATAACTTTTAAAATACTGGCCCTTAAGCACCGCAAACAGCTTAGAGATTTCTGAAATACAATATACATCCTGATCCTTAGCACCATACCTCACTTTGAAATGGAAAGACCTCGGCAAAGATTAGCACTTCTGGTGCAGAGTCCCATCTGTTACTAAGTAAGCACCTTTTAAAATTAGGCATGTTTCCATTTGATATTGACGTACATTTAAAGAAATGTTTAAAATTGTGGGAACAAAAGATGATAAATAGACATGTTCATTTGGTTTTGGTGACATTATATCTTAACATTAACATTAAGAATTAGTTGATTGCAACTGATGTTTTTACAGAAAGAAAACAAATAAATTAAATATGTTAGGATGCAAATACTTTTTTATACTCTCCAACTTCTTAGCTATATATCATAAAAGCTTACAAATAGATTTGAGGACTATAGATTCCAAAGGTTACCATTGCTATTAACAACTTCTCAAAACAAAAGTAAAGATAAAGCTCAATAATGAGCCACAATATTTTTACAAAGCACGTAAAGTCGTCACATCACCTTTTAAGATAAGATACATAGAATATATAAGTGTGGTCTTATTCAGGTTTTATTTTAAGAACCGTTCTTTTGAAAGATTATATTTCAAGATATCTAAAATTTAAAAAAGTTATATTTTTTGAAGGGTAACATAAATGGAAAATTGGGGACTCCATCTGCTGCATAAGGTGAACCTATTTATATCGCATGAATGATGTCATTAGGCCATACCTGAGTTAGAATGAAGGACAGCCAGAGAAGCAGTACATAAATAAATTGGCTGAAGGTGGGTACTGACGAGGTCCGTGTCAGTAAAGTGCATGGCAGCCAAGAGGCTCATTACCCAAATGTTTCCTTATGCCCGACTAGACTAGCAATATATCATCCTTAGTACTGATAGTGCTGACCTCCTTAAAGCTGGAATCTCCCTCTGCTGTACCCAGCTCAGACGGGCATGTCTGAGCTTTCACCTTAGATTTGCAATAGGCCCAATGTTTACATCTCAGCAATTATTACTTTTATATAATTTCCTTATCACTCGACACATTTGCGCACACCTTAAAGAAACAAATTGATTTTGACCCTCTTTGCTGACCAGGCCAAGTCCTTAGAACATGACCGTCATAGCTGCTGCTGTTCATTAAAAGACATAAATAAATGCTTCTAGAAAGAACATCTAAGTGGTTAACCTTTTTCTTCATTATAAAACATGCCGTCACTTCTGGACACATGCAAGCGAGAGATTGATATACGACCAACGAAAGCACTTGTCAGCACTTGTAGGATTTACGTCTTTCCATCTGTGCAGCCCATCAGAGGTCCACATTTAATACCGTCTCCACCTCTCTGTTTGCAGGAGGGGTATTTTAAGGATAGGTCATAAGGTCTGAGCACGAGCGAAAACTTGAAAAAAAAATATATGGATTGGTTTAACACCAGTAAATATTCTTCATAGAGTTGCATTTATAGAGTTTTCTATGGGATTCTTTCTAAGGGTGCATTCATGTCCAGGTAAATAAAAAAAATATAAAAAAATGATTCTAGCAATTTTTTTCTCTTATTGCCTGAAATTTAGTAAAACTGCACAGTTAAGCACAAAGAATGTGAGTAGTCTAACACTGACAATGACTCACCAGGGATCTCACGGATTGGAACAGGCTCTGGAAGCACCCCAGGTTCACTGCGGCCTCCTGGGTTTACGGCCACGACGCGTACATGCAGCAGGTCCCCAGCTGTCAGGTCCCTGATACAGTAGCGGTCAGCCAAGGTCAACTCCTCGTTAGCTACAATCCAGTCTGTTGCTGCAGAGCAACACAATGTTTGTGTTAGAGTGGATTCATTTTCACTTTAACTCCTATGTAACGATTGCATCAAAAAGCTGTCTGAAGGATGTCTTTCCAAAGTGTTATCAGACACTTTTAATGGTTTATCACCTGTCAACACAATTGTAGAAACAAGCTATCCACGAGAACATACAGTAAGAACCAGCATGGTGAAACTTTAGATGGCAGGCTGTCATCTGAGCAAACAAGCACTTCTAAAAGCAGTGTCAAAGGATACAGCGACAGCCAGTGAACTTACGTCTACCCTATACGGTCTGCGCCCAGCAACAAATCTCTCTGCCTTCTGACGCTCTGGAGACAGGTGCAGACTCACAAGTTCTGCGCTCACACTCATAAACACACTCACAGACAGACACTTACTCCCATCCTTGCAGTACTCGATAGTGTATCCGCTCAAGCCTGAGCTACCGACAGCCTCTGGTGTTTTCCACTTAATGGTAAGGCTGGAGTCATTCACATCCTCTACAGATACATTTAGTGGAGCACTGCTGGGGACTGCATGGTACAGGGTGATTAGAGAGAGGAAAACAGCTTTAAGAGGTTGTTTACCCTTTGTCACAACACAGTTGCATTGTATAATAGTGCACTGTTTCACTACATAAACCCCATCAAGAGGTATTAATCTACAAGAATGTCAGTTAAATAGCAAAAAATTGAACTGAGAAACAAATCTGATGCCACTGACATCTATAGTTTATCAGCGTTTTCTTTGTTGCTCTTTTTCTCATTCGATTTGTTTTTTCAAAAATTTTGAGTCGTTTTTTTTTTTAATTCCTATCTCAAACTTAAGTTCCTAAGTATTTCAAACCAGCTTCACCTTGGTTAGCCGTAGGGCTTCTTTTTTCAACATTTATTCTTCTTTAGCTGAATTTTTCTTTTTGGGTTGTTTATTTTGTCTTATTGCCTCCTATTTTTATGTTATGTGAAACACAAAAGCTACACTTGGCACAATTGTGCCAAAAAAAGTGTTGTTCTCTCAACAGTCAGTTGGATTGAAAGACAAAAAGGGATAATTATTACTCAAGAACGTCCAAACTGACTGGGAGTCAACTGGTGGCGTCATTTATACCTCTGCTTTGAGGCCCGTATGTGACTGTTCCGCCATGGAAACTATTTTCCCACGTTTTCTATCCCTTTTCTTGAGAAATTCTGAAGGCCACAAGGAGTTTAGCGGTTTGAAGCTTTTGAATGAAGAGGTGTGATCTTTGTGCTCCATGAACCTGGACATCTCCTGACATAGGCTGTAATCTTAACTTAGACTTAGATTTAGGCTTAACTTTATCTATCCCTTGGGATTACTCCTTTATGGATATTCTGGTTCAAGTAGCTTATATAGAGTACAAAGGGGAAGGTTAAAGCAAGATGCCATTAAAGATAAAAATACAACAGAGAATATAAAAGAGTGTATATAATACAAAAGGAAATTTGCATGTTTGTTTATAGTGAGGGAAATACATGTGTACAAAAAACTAAAAAAGTTTTAGAAGAAAGTAAGAAGAAAGCAGGTCAAACTGTAAGACACTGACAGTTTACCTGCAGGAGGAGGGGGAGTGGGGGCCTTGGGAGGCTCCTCAACTACAGTTTCCACTGGAGCAGCTGTAATAAAAAAAGAAAAAAAAAAGTTAACATATAAACTAATGTGATTGTACGTTCTTAATGCTCTAAGTGTAAGACTTGTTTTTGATTCTGCACCAAACAGGAATTTAATAAAGCACAAATCACATTACCACTCACTATTTCCAGTTCATAGCATAGCTGCATGTTAATGTTATTTTAATTTTGTGTTTACCATCTGTTGGAGCATCTGTGTCAGGAAGAGCAGCGCTGTCTTCAGTAATGGGAGCAGCAGCTATCATTAAAATGCCATTCAGAAAAGCAAGTTAGTGATTTATGTTTCATTTTTTAGTGGTACTAAAAATCAGCACATTTCTTAGTTTTCCAAACAACAAGGAGCTACTAAAGGAAAGCAGCTGCACAGATCATAGCAGAAAAAGCTTAAAAACAAAACTGCAATTTATGATCAAGAAACAAGTTTGCAATCAAACTGCTATTTTATTTACGACTAGTGCTGGAACTATTGGATGTTCATTCATAAGACATGTGTCGTTGGCTTTGCTATCAGTTTTGTACAGATTGTGATTAGCAACTAAAATCTGGATCAGCTAATCTATTAAATAAATAAAATATAAGCCATGAAGTCTAGTGATGAGAATTATGGCACAGCAGAAAATAAATGCAAACACAAACAAACAGAGTTAACTAAAGACTCCTTCCATCGACAACTGACAGCAGCCACATATATTTGGTGTAACTATGTTTAGATCTATGTTTAGATCATCAGACACCTTGGGAATCACATCATAGAGGCCTTGTCAGAAAGATTTTCAGCATATTTTTGATACTAAAAAACTTACATCATAACAATTTTGGAGGCCTTGCATAGTCAGTTACCTTCCCTGTAACATGAGTATGAAAACTTGTTGATGCTTGTTGGTGCAAAATGATGATGCTTGTTATTTAAATATTTTTACAACACAGCCTAAACTAAAACAGTGGTAATTATGTTTTAAATAAATAACTTTTTACTACCATTCTTCTTTAACAGTTATAGAGAACTATCCTTCTCAACATAATTCCATTATAACTACCAACAGTTTCTTCCCCACCGCCATTAGACTGCTGAATGTTTTGTAAAGTGGGTTATTGTATTGTATTTTATTATATTTATATAAATATATATATATATATATATATATATATATATATATATATATATATATATATATATATATATATATATATATATAATTTTTTTTTTTTTTTTTACTATTTTTCAAGGCTGCACTTTTATAAAAATGAAATTGTCCAGAGAGCTGTTCTAAAAGAAATTTCTAAACAAAATGACATATAAATCTGTCTACCGTAAGTCTAAACATTAAATAGAAGACATTCAGTGAGCAATCTAAAGATCCCCTTCAGTCTCCTCCAAGTGGGGCTATTGACACCAGTGGGTCAAACCCAGAACAGATCTCACCTACTGTACAGAATAATATTTAGTTTGGAACATTTAAGGGATCTGGTACTAAAATGGTTGAAATCTTAGCTTAAGTATACAAAAATACAACCAAGATGCCAGCATCTAACTACCCATTCAACAATGATGACTTTGAAACAGAAAAGTAAAACAAAAACTATCAACAAACCCCATAATTTGAGCTGAACTTCATTTCACTACATCCACATTCCCTTAAATCATAGTATATTTATGGTTATAAATATTTAATAGATACACACACCTGCACACATATATAAACATTTATATTTGTAAATTCAGAACAACAGCTGATGTCAGTTTTCTAAAGATGTTTTTTTTTTTTTTTACCTTTCATTTTTTTTTTTACATGATATCATATATTATTGTTTTTTAAATAAAATATTTGAAGTAGTAACAAGTCAAGCTTTCCCTTTCCCTCCATTTCCAGATGTTTTCTACCTGGAGCAGCTCCCTCAGTTGTAGATGTGTCCCCTGATGGGGCGGCAGGAGCTGCTTCCTCCTCAAAAACAGCAGCTGCTGCCTCAGCTGGTGCCTCAGCAGGTGGAGCTTCTGCAGGTGGAGCAGGTTCAGGCTCTGGAGCAGGCTCAGGTGCTTTCTCTGCAGCCTTTTTGGCTGGAGACTTTTTAATAGGTGCAGGTTTGCTAGGCATTGCTGACACACCGACAGTGATCTGTATGAGGGTTGGGAGGAGTCCTCAGTAACATATAAAGTGTGTTGGGGGGGGACTCCACCCATCTCCTAACTTACCTCCCCTACTAACTCTTGTATTTATCCCTACTTGTCTTCTTCCTGGCAACAACAGTTGCTGAAATACAAATGAAGCAGTTCTACTAATTTTTATTTAAATTTTTTATATAAAAAATAAGAACAGGCTGATGCTATTTTATAACTTTCTACAAAAGTGATTGAATGCTGAAGAATGTAATTTTTCAGAGAGGTAGATTTTTTTTTTTCCAATAATTATTTTCGTATTTTGTTCTTTTTTTACATCTGGAGAAACAAAATTCTTTCAGCACTTTTTTTTTATCTTAAGAAAAATGAAAACTAATATGGTCTAGAATGGCTTATGCAGTATCAAGGCAACATTACATCTATGATAAGAATACCATAGATAACAATAACCAGTGGTTCTGCTGAGGTGTTTAGTGAACTTAATTTGCTTCCTTTGTGGTCTTCACCTTGTATGCACTGTTCATCTCCTTCACAATCAGTAGAGGTTCGCTCTAGCTCAGCTGGCCAATCAAGCAAAGCGATACCATAAAGCAGGACTTGGTTCGTTTAGCAGTAGGGTGGGGAGTGAAACAACCATCTCCATAAAAGCTTGAAGGCGGCATGAAGACATGTAAAAACTGTGAAGGACTGTCAGCTAACATCATCAGATATCATGGCTTTCTGAGCATCACTGACTGTGAAAACCTCACCCTGCATCTAAAACAGCTTGGGTTCTGTACTGTTCCTCCAGACTCAAGGACTTTAATTGATTTGACCTAAGATTGTTACCTAACATATTAATATAAATATAAACCAGTTTTACATAAAATAAGTCTTTTTTTTTGTCAAATAACATAAATTATCTTAGTGGTATTTTGATTTTCTGAAATGTTCTGATATGCAATCAGAAAATATTTGAGCTACATAAGAACTAATTTGAATATATCTTACAAACATGTTCTTCAGATGTCAGGAAAGAGATCTTTTAAAATGATTTTAGGCGTTTGTTTTGATATGATTTTTTGCAGAAATGCATTTAGCTTTAAACTAACCAAAAGAACAGAACAAGCCCAATTCAATGATGCCCCCTAGTGAGCAATAAGGTGCAAACCTCCAATCAACAGTCACTGGTGAGAAAAATGGCATGACTTTATTATGTCCAGTGCTTAAAGTTAGACATATGGAATTTTATGAGATTATTGAGACATGACATTTCATGAAGTCCACTTTTAATCCAAGTGCATCTTCCTGCAGGAGGAAGACAATAAAAATCAGAGGACGTCCTTTTTTTTCTGCATCAACGGGCAAAGCTCTTCTTTGATCTCTCTTTTCGCTTCAGTGATTGTAGTCGCAGATGCAGTGGCTATGTACAAGGTTTACAATAGTAATGTCATTCATGTACAAAAGAGAGAACATTTTTACAAATATAAGAAAACAAAACAAAAAGAAAAACATGATTCTGTTAAAAAAACAACACAAAAACAAAAAGAGGAAGAGTCCCAGTCATAAAAAGATCTTCGCTCTGATACGGTTAAAGTGTGGTACTGTAGGTCCAATACATGAAAGGAATATTTGGACATCTTACTGCTCGCCCGAAATCTCTCAGCCTTGAGATCAAAACTGTCCAATTGCACACTAACAGCCCATACGTGATGCACATTCTTAAATTCTGACATGTATCACATTTGCAAAAAAGCTCATCCAGGTCCAGTTGATTAGAACCCAAACACCAGGTCACCGCTTTATAAAGTGACATCAGAGTAGGTGAGAGAATGTCTCCTCCAAATCGAGGCCTCCAGGTGGGAGCAAGCAGCTTGACAGCAGCTTTAGGCCAAACTGGGTTTCAGGCACAGATAGACTTAGGCATCAGGATTTTACTTTTATACCTTCAAACAAAAGCAGAGGAACATCTTAATAGAATATGGCAGTCTGAGGTACATTAGGGTTGAGGTGGGGTGCACCGAGTTCTCCATTACCATTATCTCCATCTTCACCTCCCTTTATCACATAACAGTCAGATAGGAGCAATAAATACTGTTTCTTATTTTTAACAAATATTTTGTGCAAAAAGAAAAAAAAATAGGGAAAAGGGTTTTAGTTGAAAAATAACTTAATGTGTTAATAAAGGCTTTCTTTATGTTTGGAGAAGAAAGATCTTGTGATTTAAAGAGCAAAGAGGAAGTAAATTATTCATGATGTCATTTTGTTGAAACGCATCTTCGCCAGGCAGGGTACACTGTAAACACAGAGTACCCTGCCTTATATAGCTCCCATGCTGAAATGCATGTTATCTGTTGAGGTGATTGATGAAGGTGACTAGAGTACAAAATCCTACAAAATCAGCATCTTAAGTTTTATTTTTTTTAACAACACATCTATGTGTTTAAAAGGTGATCTGAGCAGAACATAGGTTCCTTTAGTCCGCATCTTTGATACGGATGACGGAGGCTAGAAGGATATCCAGCGAAAAAATCTGCCAAGTCTGTGCACAAGTTTTTAATGACTTGCTATTGTGACCACAAAATAAGAGAGCAGCCAACACAACCCACCAATGCAAGCAATCATAGTCAGAGACAGTAGACTTGATCAACAAGCTGCTATTGTATCTGTGTTTTATTTCTGCAGAAAAGAAATTAGTTAACTAAGACCAGTGAGGCTTTGCAGAGTCTAGTTGATAGTCATCCATGCATGTTCCTCTTAGAGCTGCACACCTTGGCAAACTGATCTACAGTAAACACCAAAATAACATTCAAGGCCATGTTCAAAAATGTGTGTTTTACATTTCTCATAACCTAGTGAACACTTTATCAGGACAAACCACTCAAACAATGAGACAGGGCCCAGTAGATGCTGCCACCTGCTGGATTTCCTCATAAACTGCACTTTTTAGCTATGCCGGCACCTCCTCCATTTCGACACATTCACTGACTATGCGCTCTAAAATTCCATTTTCAAAAGTAGAAAATAAAGTGCATTTTGGCTGCTGTCCAGTGATGGTCCAACTCATTGGGAGCCGATAACACAATCAGCTGAAATGAAGTGCCTGCCTTCAACAAAAACCTATGAGCACCAGTAGCTATTAAAAAAAGAACAAAAAAAGGGGAAACATGGGTCATTTTTAGGGTTACTGTAATATTTTGCGTCATACATTTCCTTTCACCATGCACTTGCAGATTAAACGAGAAAAAAAACTCATATGGGAAAAACTGAGGCAAGAGAAAGAATCATCATTTTGTCAGTTTGTCTTCCCAGTCCTCCTGAAACAGGGCAGAGCAAACCCTTAATTCAAAACCCTTTTTTTAACACTAGCTTTGAAGCTGCTCACTGAGCACAAAACAATGTTAACTGTAGAGTCCTTTAAACTCTTGTTTAATCCCAGTTTACACCAGCTCAGAGTGTAGTCTGCAGGCTGGGATCCAGACAGCCTTCTCTCTCTGGAGACTCAATATAGTTGGCGGATTCCTGGAGTTTCAGCAACATGGCCATCTGGGAAGCACATTAAGACAGAGGAAAGCAGAGTAAATCATTCAATCAACACCATTTCCTTTAAGAATTTAGTTCTGTTAATAAAATTAAAATGATTTTTTAAGTATTGAATTTGCTAAAGTGGTTCAACTAATTTATAGAGCACTTTTAGTTAATAAACATTCCATGATACACTTCAACTGTGAGTGTGAATTTTTTAATTTTTCAATGCCAAATAAAAATTTTCTACTTTATTTCAGAAAAAAACATCAAAATGTCAAAACACCCCTAGTATTAAAGGGACCACAGAAAACATACCGTAATTGATTTATGGTACCATTTTTTTCTACATTCAACCTTGAAAACAAGTATATATTTTTTTAACAGATGCTTGTTTTACAAGTTTTCAGCATGTAAATTTGAATCTGCCAGGTAAGGCTAATGTGACTTAAACTATCTGATGTGGTGAGTTTATAAAATATCTGTTATGTCCTGTTATTGCATAAAAAGGACAGAAGGGGTAGCTCTAAGTATGTATGTGACTAAAGATCCTGTATGTGGAGGAAAAGGAGGGGACAATATAGAAAACAAAGAACTTAAGCTGAACTATGTCTGATGCTGTTTATTTTCCAGCATTTGAAGCTATTAACACCACAACAGTATCAGTACCAGTAGTAATTACGGTTCACTCACCAGAGGGTCTGACTCCAGCGTGCTGGGAGGAGGTGTATCTTTGGAGGGCTTCTTCTCGTCACTGGGCAGCCCAATACTTGGAGGAGGGAGGTGAAAGAGCCTGTCCTGGTCTTGCTGTGCATTTGGCCATGGGAGAGTACCTCTCACCCACTCCACTGGATCCTCCCACACTGCTTTCTGACCATGGACCTTGGAGAACAGACAGATAAAAAAAATGTTTCTAAAAGGGGTTACATGTTTAAAAAAAAACACTTAGGAAGTAAAAGTTTGCACACCTTGATGCCATCTTTGGCTCCTTCTTGGAGGTATGGTATAATGGAGTGGTTCCACAGGTCAATGAACCACTGCCTGAACTCTTTTACTGACACTGGGCAAGATAGGAAGAAGCAGGGACCTGCAGGGGAGAAACATATCCAGTTAAACCTTTCTTTACCTTCTCAATGGACCTACAAACCATTCCAAACCAGGTGAAGTTTACGCAGAATGCTCTCACCTATGAGAAAGTCTGAAGTGCTGTGTTTTTCCAAGAAAGCGTGCAGGTGGTACCAGAGCTGAGGGATCCAGTCGAGGACGCGTAGAAGTCCCTGCCGCTGTGGGGATTCCTGCTCTTCCTCCTGGTATGTTTCCACAGCTTTACGGTGCAGGTACCTCAGCAGGAACCCATTTGCTGGTTCCACATTATTGGAGAACGTAACCATCCTATTTCACATTTAAAAAGCTATTATTTTACTACCCATACTTCAAGTAATTTATCTTAAATATACATCTGCAGGACTCAAGAGTTTATCAGTAAAATTGTGAATTTTAGGCCCTTA